TTAGTTATTGTTTTTGTGTGTTTGTGGCTACTTAAAATAAGCCTATGAGTTTGTTTTTTGACAAAAATAAATGATCAATAAGTTGAACAATATAAAACATGATTTACCCTGCGGTGGGTCACAGTGTCTGTCCTTGCCTCGCTCTGCTCCTTTCGTTTAAAGACAGTTGGGACGGCATCAGGTTTTATTGTAGCCAGCAGCTAGAGTCCTGACAAGAACCAGGAAGTACGACCATATCAGTCCGGTCCTCAGGTCTCTGCACTGGCTTCCTGTGGCTCAGAGAATAGATTTTAAAACAGCTCTGCTTGTTACAAGTCTCTCCATGGCCTCACACCAAAATATATTAGTGACATGTTAGTCCCATATGAACCAGCCCGGACTCTGAGGAGCACAGGGACTGGCCTCCTGCTGGGACTCTGAGGAGCACGGGGACTGGCCTCCTGCTGGGACTCTGAGGAGCACAGGGACTGGACTCCTGCTGGGACTCTGAGGAGCACAGGGACTGGCCTCCTGCTGGTGCCCAGAGTCAGAACCAAACATGGGGAGGCTGCGTTTCAGATCCATGCAGCTAAGATCTGGAACAATCACCCTGAAAATGTGAGAGAGGCGTCTACTCTGTCAACGTTCAAATCCAGGTTAAAGACTGTTCTGTTTGCCTGTGCATACAACTGAAGGATTTTATCTCCATTTCTAATGCACTGTTGTCATTTATTTTTTTATTTTTTTAAATTTCTTGTGTAATTTTGAAAGTTTTAATGGTTTTAATATTTTGTGTGATTTTAATGTTTTAATTGTGATTCTGGTGTTTGTTTTATGTGATGATTTGTGATGTGGACTGTGAAGCGCTTTGTGTTGCCCTGTGTATGAAAGGCGCTCTACAAATAAACTTTGATTGATTGATTGATAGCCCTTGTCTTGTATCCCAAAGATGCTGCCATCGAATGAATGTGTTCAACTGAGTCCTGAAGTGCTCAGAACAGACAAGGATCTCCTGCAGCAGACAGACAGGGAAGGGCAGGTCCAAAAGACGCGTCTGTTCCCCTCCTCAAATCACTCCTTCTCCGTTGTAGGGTTTGGGAAGTTGTGTAAAGACACACTATCCTTATTTACATTTGTACAGCCGTAAGCGACGCACTTTTTCCACCTCGTTATTGGCGATAGGGCAAAGAAAAGTAAAAAAAGCGTTTGAGAAGAAGGTGCGTGTTTGGATTCAGAATGTCATTCACCCACGTCACACATCAGGGGCATGTTTTTAACTGATCATTTCAGAAAATGTAATAATTTACATATTTTTCTTTTTTTTCCGTTTTCTTTTTTTCCCCCAAAATGTTTATATGGCTCTAACCTTACAAAAACTGCAATTGGTAAAATAAAATTCTAGTACTACTTTAATCTTGTTAGATCTGAGTGCAGCTTTTGACACCGTCGACCATGAGATCCTCTTACAGAGACTAGAGGACTGGGTTGGCGTCACTGGCACCGCCCAAAGTTGGTTTAGGTTTTACCTTGAAGACAGGAAGTACTTAGTGGAGATTGGAAACTGTGTCTCAGATCATATGGCCCTGACCTGTGGAGTACCACAGGGGTCGATCCTGGGACCTCTTCTGTTCAATCTCTACATGCTGCCGTTAGGTCAGTTAATACGCAGAAACAAAGTGTCCTATCACAACTATGCAGACGACACTCAGATCTATGTCTCACTGACTGCAGGAGAACATGGACCAGTGGACTCACTCCTTCACTGTATCCAACAGATCAGTGAGTGGATGCAAAACAACTTCCTTCAGCTAAACGCAGACAAAACTGAAATGATTGTCTTTGGTCCCCAGAAACAAAGAGAGAGCGTCATCTGTCATCTACAGTCTCTCTCCCTAAAACCTTCAAACAAGGTCAGAAATCTAGGGGTAATACTGGACTCAGACTTAAATTTTAATAGCCACATCAAATCAGTAACATCAGCAGCTTTTGACCATCTAAAAAACATTGCCAGGATCAAAAACATAGTGTCTAAAGCAGACCTGGAGATTCTTATCCATGCATTTGTCTCCAGTAGGTTAGACTACTGCAATGGCCTGCTCACAGGTCTGTCCAAACAGGCTGTAAAACAGCTGCAGTACATTCAAAATGCAGCAGCTCGAGTCCTGACTAGAACCAGGAAGTACGACCACATTAGTCCTGACTAGAACCAGGAAGTACGACCATATTAGTCCTGACTAGAACCAGGAAGTACGACCACATTAGTCCTGACTAGAACCAGGAAGTACGACCACATTAGTCCTGACTAGAACCAGGAAGTACGTCCATATTAGTCCTGACTAGAACTAGGAAGTACGACCATATTAGTCCTGACTAGAACCAGGAAGTATGATCACATTAGTCCTGACTAGATCCAGGAAGTACGACCACATTAGTGCTGACTAGAACCAGGAAGTACGACCACATTAGTCCTGACTAGAACCAGGATGTACGACCACATTAGTCCTGACTAGAACCAGGAAGTACGACCATATTAGTCCTGACTAGAACCAGGAAGTACGACCACATTAGTCCTGACTAGAACCAGGAAGTACGACCACATTAGTCCTGACTAGAACCAGGAAGTACGACCACATTAGTCCTGACTAGAACCAGGAAGTACAACCACATTAGTCCAGTCCTCAGGTCTCTGCACTGGCTGCCTGTCGCTCAGAGAATAGACTTTAAAACAGCTCTGCTTGTCACAAATCTCTCCATGGCCTCGCACCAAAATATATTAGTGACATGTTAGTCCCATATGAACCAGCCCGGACTCTGAGGAGCACAGGGACTGGACTCCTGCTGGGACTCTGAGGAGCACAGGGACTGGACTCCTGCTGGGACTCTGAGGAGCACAGGGACTGGACTCCTGCTGGGACTCTGAGGAGCACAGGGACTGGACTCCTGTTAGTGCCCAGAGTCAGAACTAAACATGGGGAGGCTGCTTTTCAGATTGCTCTCTTCAGACTGGGGTCTTTCCTGCAGCCTTCAAAGCAGCTGTGGTGAGACCCCTTCTGAAGAAGAGCAATTTAGATTTTAATGATTTAACAACCACAGACCGGTATCCAACCTGCCATTTTTAAGCAAAATTTTATAAAAACTTGTTTTTATCCAGCTCAATGCCTTTTTAGATCCAGCTCAATGCCTTTTTAGATCAGCTTAACCAGGACAAAACTGAGGTTTTAGTCATCGGTCCTGAGGCCCAGAGAGAGAAACTTTTACCAAAACTCCAATCACACTCTTTTAATCCATCACCACAAGTGAGAAACCTGGGCGTAATCTCTGACTCTGAGCTGACTTTTATTCCTCACATCAAGAATATCACAAAAATAGGTTTTTATCATTTAAAGATCATCGCCAGAGTCCGCCCCATTCTCTCTCGGGGCAACACGGAGACTCTGATGCTTTTATCACCAGTCGCATTGACTATTGTAATGCCCTGCTCTCTGGTCTTCCCAAAAAGAACATTTCAGGTTTACTCCAAAACTCGGCCGCACGTGTCCTGACTAAGACCAGGGGGCGTGTCCTGACTAAGACCAGGGGGCGTGTCCTGACTAAGACCAGGGGGCGTGTCCTGACTAAGACCAGGGGGCGTGTCCTGACTAAGACCAGGGGGCGTGTCCTGACTAAGACCAGGGGGCGTGTCCTGACTAAGACCAGGGGGCGTGTCCTGACTAAGACCAGGGGGCGGGACCACATTACACCGGTTTTAAAATCGCTGCATTGGCTCCCCGTGTGTTTCAGGATCGATTTTAAGGTTCTTTTAATGGTCTTTAAATGTCTTAATGGTCTTGGGCCTTCTTATCTTTCAGATTTGCTTTTATCCCATGAACCTTCCCGGCCCCTTATTAGTATTTGGGGCGTTCACAAGCAGTCCGTACAAAAAGTATTGACATGACAGAAAGTGCGGCAGAGCAGTACAATCCACATGTACGTGTTTGTCCTCATGGTACCTGTGGCTGTTGTGGTCAGACGTGAGACTTTATGAACTGTGTGAAGGAGAGACCCGCGCACGGCCGTTATGTGTGATGTCAGTAAAAATGACCTTGTGAATGCACTGCCAGATCTCAGATGTCCTCCGCGATTATCACACAATTCAGTCATGTTTAGAAAATCCAAATCAGGTGCGCGCACTTGTGAGAAACAGGAAGAGGGTGAAGGGGGTAAACGCATCCCATTGGTTTATTTTTATCGGCCAGCTCCAAAGTCTTATTTGTTAATTTTTGGAGACAATAGGCATCTGGTCAATCTCCCTTACTATTTGAAAACACATGATTACTTGACTACTTTTAGGGTTTAAGGACGTTTTCCCACAAGGTTTTAAAAAATGCATCTGGAAAAAATCACTGACTGCATCTTTAAATTCACCATTCTGAACTGTTGTGCTGGTTTTTCTGTGGATGTAAACACGTTTCTAGAACCATTGGACACTAGCTGGGGTCGTGAGAATATTTTTTTGGGATATTAATACCATTAGCACAATTAATTACTCAAACAAACAGCAATGAAATTGACTTAAAATGTTGAAATATCCAAAATATTCCATCCATCCATCAATCCATCTATTTTCTTCCGCTTCATCCGTTGCCGGGTCGCGGGGGCAGCAGTCTAAGCAGAGACGACAAGACTTCCCTATCCACACACACTTCCTCCAGCTCGTCTGGGGGGACCCCAAGGCGTTCCCAGGCCAGCTGAGAGACATAGTCCCTCCAGCGTGTCCTGAGTCTTCCCTGGGGTCTCCTCCCGGTGGGACGTGCCCGGAACACCTCCCCAGGGAGGTGTCCAGGAGGCATCCAGAACAGATTCCCGAGTGACCTCAACTGGTTCCTCTCGACGTGGAGAATAAACGGCTCTACTCCGATCTCCTCCCGTGTGACTGAGCTCCTCACCCTATCTCTAAGGGAGCGCCCAGCCACTCTGCGGAGGAAGCTCATTTCGACCGCTTGCATCCGCGATCTCGTTCTTTCGGTCATTACCCACAGCTCATGACCATAGGTGAGGGAGGGAACAAAGATTGACCGGTGAATAGAGAGCTTTGCCTTTCGGCTCAGCTCCCTCTTCACCATGACGGTCCGATACAGCGACCGCATCACTGCACACGCTGCACCGATCCGCCTGTTGATCTCACGCTCCATCCTTCCCTCACTTGTGAACAAGACCCCGAGATACTTGAACTCCTCCACTTGAGGAAAAACCTCCCCACCTGGAGAGGGTACGGCACCTTTTTCCGGTCGAGCACCATGGCCTCAGATTTTGAGGTGCTGATTCTCATCCCAGCCGCTTCACACTCGGCTGCAAACCGTCCCAGTGCATGTTGCAGGTCCTGGTTCGTTGGAGCCAACAGGACAACATCGTCCGCAAATAGCAGAGATGAAATCCTGTGGTCCCCAAACCGGACCCCCTCCGGCCCCTGGCTGTGCGAAGAAATTCGGTCCATAAAGAGAGTGAACAGAACCGGTGACAAAGGGCAGCCTTTGCGGAGGCCAACATGCACCGGGAACAGGTCTGACTTACTGCTGATGCGAACACCGCTCTGGCTCCGGTCTTACAGGGACCGGACGGCCCTCAGCAGAGGACCCCCCAAAGGACATCCCGGGGAACACGGTTGAACGCCTTCTCCAAATCCACAAAGCACATGTGGACAGGTTGGGCGAACTCCCATGAACCCTCGAGTATCCGATGGAGAGTATAGAGCTGGTCCAGTGTTCCGCGGCCGGGACAAAAACCACACTGCTCCTCCTGAACCCGAGATTCGACCATCGGACGTAGTCTCCTCTCCAGTACCTTGGAGTAGACCTTCAGAATCAGAATAATTTGTATTACCACGTAAGTAACAGGAAGTCACAGACTTGGAAATTGCTTTGGCTCAGTGCAACAGTCAGAAAGAGATCATAAAAAATAAAGAATAAAAAAACTTCTAAGGAATAAAATTTAAATTTAAAATAAAGTTACAGTTACTATTTACAATATACAGTGCACATGGTGCACACTATGTAAGGTGACAGCAGTACAGTGAAGTAAAGTGACGTATGATGGGCAGTAAAGTGACTTTATAAAGGGCGGGGGGACAGGTTAAGAAGTGTTCAAGAGTCCAACAGCAGAGGGGAAGAAACTGTTCTTGTGGCGGGAGGTTCTAGTCCTGATGGACCGCAGTCTCCTGCCTGAGGGGAGTGGTTGGAATAGTCCATGTGCAGGTGAGAGGGGTCGGCTGTGATACGACCAGCCCGGCCTCGAGCTCGGGCGACGTACAGGTCCTGCAGCGATGGAAGGCTGCGGCTGATCACTTCCTCTGCAGAGCGCACAATGCGCTCTAGTCTCTGTTTGTCCCTGACTGTGGCTCCAGCGAACCACGCGGGGATGGAGGAGGTGAGGATGGACTCGATGATGGCCGTGTAGAACTGCACCAACATCTGTGCAGGCAGCTTGGCTTTCCTGAGCTGCCGCAGGAAGTACACCCTCTGCTGGGCCTTCTTGATGAGGGAGCTGATGGTCGGCTCCCGCTTGAGGTCCTGGGTGATGGTGGTGCCCAGGAAACGATAGGACTCCACAGAGGTGATGGGGGAGTCCTATAGTTTCCTGGGTACCACCATCACCCAGGACCTCAAGTGGGAGCCGACCATCACCAGGGAGGCTGAGGAGTGTGATCCCACAATAATTGGAACACACCCTCCGGTCCCCCTTCTTGTAGAGAGGGACCACCACCCCGGTCTGCCACTCCATTGGCACCGCCCCGATCGCCACACGAGGTTGCAGAGACGTGCCAGCCAAGACAGTCCTACAACATCCAGACACTTTAGATAGTCAGGACGGATCTCATCCACTCCCCGAGCCTTGCCACCAAGGGCGGCACGGTGGCAGAGTGGATAGCACTCTCGCCTCTCACCAAGAAGGTTGCATGTTCTCCCTGTGCCTGCGTAGGTTTCCTCCGGGTACTCCGGTTTCCCCTACCACTAAAAACATGCTTAAATCCTCAAGCTCCGGTAGTCCTGACCAAGCCGACCATCAACATCTGGAGGGGTTCCTGGGGGCTGTTACTACGGCGACCACTGCTCCTGACGTAAGCCTTTGAGGTAACAGGATGGGTCAAATGCAGAGGATTGAATTGTCCTACGGGGAGTAATAAAGTGCACATTTACCTTTGGTGACTTCAGCCAGGGAGATGGAAGTATCCGCCCCAACATCCTCAGCCTCTGTCTCCAGAACAGAGAACGTGACGGGGGGATTGAAGAGAACCTCGAAGTATTCCTTCCACCGCCCGACAATATCCCCAGTCGAGGTCAGCAGCTCTCCACCGGCACCATACACGGTGTTGGCAAAGAACTGCTTCCCCCTCCTGAGGCGCCGGATGGTTTGCCAGAATCTCTTCGAGGCCGACCGATAGTCATGCTCCATGGACTCTCCGAATGCCTCCCAGTCCAAGGTTTTTGCCTCTGCAACAGCCCGGGCTGCGGCCGCTTGGCACAGCTGCCTCGGGAGTCCCACCAACCATCATGGCTCAATAGGACGGCATCCCTTACTACCGGTGTCCATCACGGGGGTTGCGGCCAGGACCAGCACCAGAGACCTTGCGACCACATTCTTCGAGCTGCCACATCGGCGATAGTGGTGGAGAACATGGTCCACTCAGACTCGATGTCCCCCTCCTCCCCCTGAACTTCGGAGAAGCTCCGGAGGAGGTGTGAGTTGAAAGTCTGTCTGACAGGAGGCTCAGCGAGCCGTTCCCAGCAGACCCTCACTACACTCTTGGGTCTGCCAGGTCTGACCGGCTTCCTCCCCTCATCGACCTCCGGCCTCAGGTCCTGGTGCCACGAGCACTGGTGGACACCCTTGTGCTGGAACATGGTGTTGGTGATGGACAAACTGTGACTGGCACAGAAGTCCAACAACTGAACACTGCTATGGTTCAGATCAGGGGGGCCATTCTTCCCGATCACCCGGGGTCCCCGGGCGGTGTACTGTCCAGTACCCCTCCCAAGGACTCCAAGAAGGCTGAGTACTCTGCACTGCTATTAGGCCCGTAGGCCGCCACAACAGTGAAAGACTTGTCCCGCACCCGAAGGAGACGCAACCCTCTCATTCACCGTGGAGAACTCCAACACGTGGCGGCTGAGATGGGGGACAATGATTATGGCCACCCCCGCTCGCCGCCTCTCCCCGCGGAAAACACCAGAAAAGTGGAGCGTCCAACCCCTCTCAAGGAGTTGGGCTCCAGAGCCCAAGCTGTGTGTAGAGGAGAGGCCGAGTATATGTAGTTGGTAACACTCAACCTCCCCCACGAGCTCGGGCTCCCCCCAGTGAGGTGGGGTTCCACGTCCCATGAGCCTTATGTTGCGTGTGCAGACCGGGTCGTCGAGGCCTCTGCCTTCGACTGCCGCCCAGTCCTCTCAGCACCGACCCGCCACGGATCCCTCTGTGGGTGGTGGGTCCACAGGACATTCTGCCCACGTCGTCCTTTCGGGTTGAGCCTGGTTGGGCCCTGTGGGCTAAGGCCCAGCCACCAGACGCTCGCATACAGGCTCCAACCTCAGGCCTGCATCCAGGGTAGGGCCCCAACTCTACCACGCCTGCCGACGTCACAGTTCTCATTAACGTGCTAAACATAACTCCCAGGATCATCCGAGCAATATTCTTAGATCTTCGCAAAGCATTTCACACTGTTTGTCACCCCACATTACTACAAAATGAACCAAATTTAAACTGTCTGTAAATACTCTGGCCTGGATTAAGTCTTACTTATCACGCCGGAGTCAATGTGTGCGTATCAGTAACACCACATCCAACATCAGTGCTACTGATATTGGGGTGCCACAAGGCTCCAACATTGGCCCTCTGCTCTTCTCACTGTATATAAATGACATCTGTGTGTGAGGATGTCAAAATCCAGATGTATGCAGATGATACGGTCATTTATACATGGAGAAGGGACGCTTAAATAGTAGCCAATAAACTGACTGTAGCAATGGAGAAGGTTGCAACATGGCTGCATGATTCCTGTCTCACATTAAACATCAGTAAAACAGCAACAATGTACTTTGTAAAGAAAAACAAAACAACCTTGTTTCCAAACATAAAATAAAAAGTAAAAAATGTGAATGAATATTGTTACCTGGGTGTAATTTTAGATCCCACCTTCAGCTTTAAAAAACAAACCAAACAGATGAGCCTTAGCCTCAAACACAATATAAAGACGTTCAAATGTATCAGGAACTCACTAACACTGGAGGGAGCCCAAACTTATTTTAATGCAATGGTCATGTCTCGTTTTGATTATTGTATAACGTGTTGGTCCCAGGCAAATAAAATCACTCTGAGGTCACAGGAAACTCTGCACAAACAGTCACTTAAGATCCTCGACCGGAAACCACGACATCACCATCACTGTTTAGTTCTCCAAAAATACAGACTGTTAAATTTTCGACAATATTCAAAGATTTGCATCCATACGATTAGCTCACAGAATATTAAATAACACCGCACCAGCTCCACTCAAACACTTTGTTCAGTTCACATCTGCTGCGACAAGTAAAACCACACGAGCCTCCACCAGGGGGCAGTGCAGCATACCCAGGTGTAAAACTGCTTTTGCACAATCAGCATTTTCATATAAAGCAATAAAGGAATGGAACGAGCTCACCACAGAACTGAAGAGTCAAACAGACTGTTCAACATTTACAGTAGAACTTAAAAAGTGGTTAAGGAGCAATCAAAGCTGCTCACACGAACCCTGAGGTGTGACCCAGGACGACTGATTTATGTGATCTATGTATGATGAGAAACTGATGTATGTGATCTATGTATGATGAGAAACTGATGTGAACTATGTATGATGAGAAACTGATGTATGTGATCTATGTATGATGAGAAACTGATGTATGTGATCTATGTATGATGAGAGACTGATGTATGTGATCTATGTATGATGAGAAACTGATGTGTGTGATCTATGTATGATGAGAAACTGATGTATGTGATCTATGTATGATGAGAAACTGATGTGAACTATGTATGATGAGAAACTGATGTATGTGATCTGTATGTGATGAGAAATGTACTGAATGTGTGAATGTATCTTCTGAATGCATGCTTGTGACATGTGACTAGATGTATTGTGTGTGTGTGATGCTGAGAATGAGGTGTAGTTTTAACAAACAGGTATGAGGCTAAATGTGTGTGTCTGAATCAGAGAGAGTGTGATGTATTGCAATGTTATAATTAGTGGATTGTACATTACTGTGTCCATGTATTGTATTTATGTAACCAGGGACTGCAGATGGAAACTAGCTGTTTAGCTATAATCTGGTGCAGAACATATCTGTCTTTGAGCTTAACGTCTCTGTACATTGTCCCTTTCAAATAAAGACTAAACTAAACTAAACTACTCAAACTCGTCCACCACGGTAAGGTGGCAGTCCAGGGGGGAGCTAAATTATTACAACTGTGACAAATCCTCTTTTCATGTGTGCCACATTTATAACCAGTGCTCAATGTTTGGTCCAAACGACTATTGGATGAATAGGGCGGCAGTAGCTCAGTTGGTAGAGCATTGGCCTTTGAGCCAGAGGGTTGTGGGTTCAAGCCAGACTTTCACCATCGACTCCCACTGACTGCTGTCGTTGTGTCCTTGGCAAGACACTTAACCTCTGGGAACACCAGGTGCCACAGTGGGGCGGCTGCGGCTGTAAAGTGCCAAACTGTCGTTGTGTCCTAAGGCAAGACACTTAACCTCTGGGAACACCAGGTGCCACAGTGGGGCGGCTGCGGCTGTAAAGTGCCAAACTGTCGTTGTGTCCTAAGGCAAGACACTTCACCCCCATTGCCTAGAATGAGTCTGGTGTGTGTGTGAATGGTTGGTGGTGGTGGGAGGGGCCGATGGCACAGACTGGTTGCCTCGCTACTGTCAGTGTGCCCCAGGGCAGCTGTGGCTACATTAGTAGTTTATCACCACCGTGTATGGAGTGAAAGAATAATATACATGTGAAGCGTCCGTCCTTGAGTCCAAAAAAGCGCTATATAAAACCGATGCATTATTATGAATAAAACAAAAAGAATAAATTTTTATCGTCAGTTTTTTTTCTTCTTTCTGTTCAGAGCCTGGTCAGCCAGGAGCGTTCACAGTGAGTGACATCAGAGCTGACAGTGTGACTCTGTCCTGGGAGCCCCCTGCTGGTGAAGTGCAGAACTACTCAGTGACCTGTTCCAGTGGAGAAGATGTCGTACAAGAATTCCAAACTGAGGAAACCAGAGTGACCATCAGATACCTGAGGCCTGGACAGCAGTACCTGTTCTCTGTGTGTGCACAGCTCCAGAGGCTCCAGAGTGAGGCTGCAGAGACCTCCACTCACACAAGTAAGTCTCTATCTTTGAACTCTGACAACTGCAGTGGAAATAGATTTCAACATAATCCTTAAACTTGTTTCCACAGAAACATATGTGGAGTCTGTTCTTGAGGATTTGGATCTAGAAATCTATTACAACAAGAAGCTTTGTCTAAATAAGGTTCTGCAAATTGATGAGAAGACGATGACTGAAAACAATGTGATGTCAAACAAAGACGTTGTATGGTATTTTCTTAAAAAGCTGATGATGGTAAATGTCAAAGCGAGAAATGTAAAATGTACTTTAAGTGAAACAAACTTTGGTGAAAGTTCTGACATCTCGATCTTAGATCTTGAAAATGTATTGAATAGTTTAACCTCGGCGTGCACCATTAACCCTCTTGACATAATAACAGCTCTGTTTCTGTGCTCTGATACCTTTGTGCAGCAGGAACTGTCACTCAAAATGTCCATGTGTCAGTTTGCTGTTCCTCTGCTGCTTCCAAACTGTGACACAAACCAGTGCACACTGATGCTGTGGGCTCTGAGAGACATTGTCAAAAAGTACAGACCTAAATCTCTCTCTGAATCCAAGGGCTTCAAAGAAGAACGTGTCGTAAACTCTGAAATCCCAATGATCTCGTTCATGAGACTTGGTGAATGTTCTTTGTCCAAGTCTGAGATTCTAAACAAACTCCTGAGCAACTCCCAGCAATACCACGACACCTTTGTGCACCACAACATGCAGTGTGGCGACAACCCGAGAATAATCTCTAATGGACTCGCGGAACTTACTTGGTATCTTCCCTGTGGGAATAAAAACATTGACATCTTTGATGAACCAGTGGCAGTCGTTAACCTCCGTGGGGATATTACTAACTTTGAAACACAGTATGCTTTTCTTTGTCATACGTCTTCCGCTGTTTTTGTGTTTTACGATTCTTTAAAATATGAATGGAGGAAATTGGAAATGTTGAAAAGCAAGGCAGAGATATTTCTTGTCGGTAATCACCAATGTGGTAAAATATGTATGAAAACATTACAAAACATTGCAACAGAGTTAGGACTAACCAACAGTAGCATCATCATGAAAACTAAACAAATGAACGATGCAGACTTTGTTGAGAAAATACAGAAAACCATGAAAGGCGCAATTGAAAACTCAAAAGTGAGAGTTCAGATGGAGCAGATGACGAGCATTGCTCATGAATTGGGAGTTCATGTTGATGAAGACAGTCCTGAGTGTCAGAGAGCAAAGCTCAATGCTGATGCAATCACAGCAGAAATCCAAGATATTATGATGTTCAAGCAAACCCAGCTGCACATGCAAGGGCAGATTTGGAAAGACGTTACTTCTTTGGAGAAGGAACAATGCAGGCTCAGAAAAGTTGGTTCTGAAAACATAGATGAGTACAAATCTAAACTTCATGGGAAAATAAAAGAGCACCGTCAAAAACAAAATTCTTATGGTATTTCACAACGTATGAACATCTTCCTCACTGGCATCAGCAGCCCAGACAATGAAAGGTGCTTTTTCCTGAAGTGGCTGAGAATAAACCTTGACAACCTTTCTCATGAAAAGTTGTCAGACCTCAGGGAGCAATATAAAAGAAAATGCAATGATTCAGGAAACAAAGAAGAGATTAAAACAATAGACACACAACTCTCCAACAGTTCACTAGGAATGGAACACTTCTTCAGGGAAATGGGTCAACTCTACGAGGCTTCATTGTCTCTTCCAGAAGAAGACCGTTCACGTCAACAGCTGCAGCACCTTCCCAAACTGTGTGCACAGCTTCTGATTGAGGGTTTTCCTCTGGAGCTGGTGGATGGAGATGCCTCCAACATCCCTCTCAGATGGGTGAGTGATGTTCTGACCCAGCTCCATGAACTGGTGTCTCCTAACAACAAGATTCTGGTGATCACAGTCCTCGGAGTCCAGAGCACAGGGAAGTCCACTCTCCTCAACACCATGTTTGGAGTGAAGTTTGCAGTGAGCAGTGGCCGATGCACGAGAGGCGCCTTTATGTTACTCATCAGAGTCAGTGAAGATATGAAAGCTTCTCTCAACTGTGACTTCTTAGTGATCATCGACACCGAGGGCCTCAAGTCTCCAGAACTCGCTCAACTGGACGATAGTCACGAGCACGACAACGAGTTAGCAACCCTTGTGGTTGGATTGAGTGACATCACCATCATCAATATTGCTATGGAGAATTCTACAGACATGAAAGACATCCTGCAGATAGTTGTGCACGCTTTCCTCCGAATGAAAGAAGTGGGTAAAAAACCCAGATGTCAGTTTGTTCACCAGAATGTTTCAGATGTTTCAGCTCATGACAAGAACCTCAGAGACAGAAAACTGCTCTTGCAGCAGTTAAATGAGATGACTCAAGCTGCAGCTAAGATGGAGAGAAAAGAAGAGAATAAGAGCTTCACTGATGTCATGGACTATGACCCCGACACTGGAAACTGGTACATCCCTGGACTATGGAATGGAATCCCCCCAATGGCCCCAGTCAATGTAGGATACAGTGAAGCAGTCCAAGAACTCAAGAAAAATGTTCTGCACAATTTGGAAAAATGTGGATCATCTGTCACTGATATATTGGAGTTTCGTGAGTGGATCAAAAGTCTGTGGAACGCAGTGAAGCATGAAAACTTCATCTTCAGCTTCAGAAACAGCCTTGTGGCTGATGCATACACGAGACTGTGCACAGAGTACAACAAATGGGAATGGGAGTTTAAGAAGGCCATGTTTTCTTGGGTTACAAATGCAGAGACACAAATTTGCAACATTGGCGTAGTGGCTGAAAAGTTGGATATTGGCAAAGTTCTTACTGATCTAAAACTAGACGCTAAAACAGAATTGTGCAAATGGGAAAAAGTTCTTCTTGATCACCTCAAAGATTACTTCAAGCAAACAGAAGGACATGTTCATCTGGTTGAAGGTTACAAGGAGCAATTTTTCAACAGTGCAAAAATGTGTCGAATGGAAATGGAAAGCTCTGTCATAAATCAGCTGACAGCGACTGCAGAAATCAAGCAACGCCTGGAAAATGTTGACAAAGTTAAAGAAAACCAAACAAAAGACTTAGGAGAAAAAGTGTGTGCTTTGATTGACAAGTGCAGAAAAGAAAACCACACATTGACGGATGAAGAGCTCGATGCAGAATTCAACAAAATGTGGAAGAAGACTGTGACGAAGATGAAGGAATCTGTGTCTTCCACAAAAACTAAAGATGTTTTTGCACAAATATCTCGCCAACTAAGAGCAAATATCTCACACAGAGGCAGCTGTGCAAATGAATTAGTCTCAGAAAATAAACTACAGGATTGTGGTTTAGAGGCTTTTGTTGTAAAACCTGTGGGTTCATATGAAAAAATTAAAAATACAGTTTCCAAATGGTTTTATCGTGAGGATAATATAAAGGCTGCTCAAAAGTTGGCAGACGGCATTATTACTGTCTGCCAAGAGTTTATCTCTGAAAAAGTGGAAATGGGAACAGATTATCACGACAACTACATCCAAGAGATCCTCAGAATGATTGATGATAAGTTGAATTGTCATCGTCATGTTCAGATTACCATGGAGTTTCAGGTTTCACTGAAACTGCACATCTGTGGATATGCAGCCAGAAGGTTTCTGGAAATGCATGAGCGTTTTCTGCATGAAAACGATCCTTTCGTACATCTGAACAAAAACAAACAAAAGTTTTGTGCTGATTTCAAAGATGTATTTAATAAAAAAGACCAATGTCAAAAAAAGGCAAATGAATTCACAGATCTGTGCCTGAAACCTGCCGTGGAACGCTTCGTGAGTCGCTCTCTGGGGCCTGACATCGTCAGTGAAATGCAGACTTGTCATCAGTTCAGCACACGGACAGCTTTCCAGTACCATGTGTTACTGGACCTCGTCACAAATGAGCAATTTGAAAGATATTATCACTACATTTGCAATTATGAGGTCTTCATTAAGGAATGGATACATCAGCAAATAGTGGAACACTTTTCAAACAAAGAAAAAATATCAGAACTTGAGAATAAACATCTTCAGAAATGCTTTGGAGACATAACTAGTGCCATAAAGAAAGCCTCAACAGAAAATGGCACTTTAGAGGAATTTATTGAGGTTTTGTGCAAAGATCTAATTGATAAACTGGTGATTTCCCACGATACACTGGGAGCTTTTATGATCTTAAACAATGCTGATCAAGAACAGTTCTCACACTGGCTCACCAAGTGTGTGTCTGACATGATACAGACTCTAAAAAACACGTTTGAGGAAACAGAGGTCGATGCTAAACTCAAACAACTGAGTCTGAAGCCTCATCAAGAGCTTTCTGACAGGATGATCGGGTGTGGTCAGCAGTGCCCCTTTTGTAAAGCACCATGTGAAGCTGGAGCCAAAGGTCACACAGAGCACTGGGCCTCTCTCCATCAGTCACAGGGGCTGGGTCGATACAGATGGAGTGATTCAAAAAAACTCACATGTGACGTATGCACAACTCTTGTTCAAAGTGATACAAACTTTCAGTGTTCGGCCACTGATTGGAAATCGCACCCTTACAAGAGATACACAGAGATATTCCCTGACTGGAAAATATCTGCAGATTCTAGTCTTGAAGCCTCCGATTACTGGAAATATGTTTTGACAAAGTTCAATAACAACTTTGCAGAAGGATACAAAGCAAAACCTGCAGACATTCCAAAACCATGGAAGTCCATCGGGAAAAAAGACGCCATCAAAAGTCTTAAGACGTCATTTTACATGGAATGAGCAACACTTAGATCTGAAAACACATTCCAGTGTCTTTGTTGTTTGAAATATAATCCAAAATAATCAAGAATGTCGATGTGTGGTCCTTGCTTTTTGGAGCAATCTACAAACTATCTGCAGCTTTCAATCATTAGACAATCAAATCATAACTTTATTAACTGTACTTTTTGACAATTTCCTCTCGCCGTTGGAAATGATTCTACTTGTGGGTCGATGTATGGGTTTTACTGCAGTCCATCTGTTAACATAGTTTACCACACTGATCAGGAATAATATGGACATTTTTGTGAATTTTTATGTAAGTTTATATTATATATCTCCAAGACTGCTGCTTGCTTGAGATCATTGTCTTTGTATAAGAATCCCTTCAGATGTGGGTATAGTTTTATCTAGGCACAAGGGTAAAATGGTACTTTAAGTGTCATCCAGCCAACTTCAGCTGAACCAATACAGTCATGCCATACCTCGTTGTGAAGCTCAGTCCCTTTGGATCCAGCTATCAACTTTATTTGTGTATTCCGACATTGGTTTTTTCTTGTGTCACAAAATTCCATATGACCCCAATGTAGCTGTGGTGTGTGTCATACGCCATAAAAAAAAAAAACATTCATGAAAATGATTTGTTACATAATTGTTATTTTTGTTGAACTGCGATTGACTCTCTAATCTTTATCATTTCGGTATCAAGTTATGCTATGATTTGATGTATTATCTTTATATGTAACCAATTACTATTTTGTCAGTATTTTGTTATCATTTGCTACTATAATTAGGTTATGAATTGTTAGATTTATGTTATTTTTTGTTAATGTATAAACCATTATGGCTTTTTTTTCTTCCCCAGCACGTATATATTTTCTTGCTTTATTATGTAATAGAAAATGATTTTAATATCAAATAAAACAAATCAAATAAACTTTGGCCATCCTTAATATTTCTCTAATTTACAGAAACCCTCTATCTCTTATCACTTTTGATTTATAGCCTTTTGAATTTAATATGTCAAAATCGAGCAGGTCGGACTTACTGCTCGTGATGCAAACACAACTCTGACCCTGAGGAGATCCCCCCCAAAAGACACGTCCGAAACTACACTGCTTCTTCTGAATCTGAATCAAAGTCTCCTCTCCAGTACCTTGGAGTAGACCGGGGAGGCTGAGGAGTGTGATCCCACAATAATTTAAACACACCCTCCGGTCCCCCTTCTTATGGAGAGGGACCACCACCCCGGTCTGCTACTCCATCATCACCGCCCCCGAACACCATGCGATGCTTCAGAGACGTGTCAGCCAAGACAGTCTTACAACATCCAGAGTGTGGCATATATGGGTTGTATGCTTTATGTTACCCACAGGCACAATACTGATCTTAGGCTAGAACCAGAAGTTAGGTACGTCTCACAAGAAAGAGAGGTGTTTAAAGAGACAGAGGCAGTGATACGGTGCAAACATGTGAATTATATTGAGGGAGAATATATACAAAAGACTGGGGATATATACAAAAATATACAATATACACAATATGTACAATGAATGTAAGAGTGTAAAGTTGGCCTGGGGCAGCTCGCCATCGAAAAAGGGGGACCACTGGACTGGAGGGACCAATGGAGGGAATGGATGGATAGAACCTGGCCTGTTACGAACAGGACCAGCATTAATCACATCTCATAATTAAAATAAGCATAGGTCATTACAAAACAAGGTCTCATATACATGTATATCAAATAATCAAGAGTACTCATCACAATGCACCATAAACAATAATGCACAGGTCACATTAGCTTATCTTGTGCACACAATCAAACACAGAGATTTTGAAATGTATTTAACATTTTGCTGGGGAGCACAACAAAATACATCAATACACGTTATCACAATCATACTACTAGGCCTAGGCGCCGACACAGGAAAACATACATCAAAGAGAAAAGTCAATAAAGCAGCGGAGACTAGCGCTGGCTACTAGCTCCGTGCAGAATCAAAACAATCTGACTCACCAGTTCCTCTGTAGAACAGAGCAAACAGTGTGACAGCAGCGTCAAAGATAGTGTAGGAGGCGCCTGTAGTGAAAGCATATCAGTTACAACCCGTAGATTATAAAACGAAGTTAGATCACGGACAATTACCTGCAGCCTGCTCGGATCCAAATTTTCCCCACAGCAACACACCCGACTGTGGACAGAGCGCGCTCATTTGAGGAAATGTTGCCATGGGGACCGTGGGAACTCTCGTTCAAACTCACGTCGAAGCAGACAACTACCGCGAGACTACAAGAGACGGACTTAAAATAATAACTGGAGAGGTGCGGAGAACGATAAAAATGACCCGGGTTACAAGAGACTCAAGAGTCAGCACGGATCTCGTACACCCAGAGCGAGTGACCAAGGCGGATTCTCAGCCGTGGGGGAGCACAGAAGACTGAAGAGAACCTTGAGGCATTCCTTCCACTGCCCATCAACATCCCTGGTCGATGTCAGGCATTCTCCACCCGCACAACACACTGCTTTCACTGGACAGTCTGTCAGAATCTCTTTGAGGCCGACCTTTAGTCACGCTGGACTCTCCTTCTTCATTTTGACAGCATCCCTTACTACTGGTGTCCACCTCCGGGTTCGGAGGGTTGCTGCCGGGACCAGCACCAGAGACCTTGCAACCACATCTACGAGTTGCTGCTTCAGCGATAGAGGAGGAACACATGGTCCACTCAGACTCAATGCCCCCCTCCTATTCCAGGTCCTGGGTGAAATTCTCCTCCTTCTCTGGGGCCTGGGAGAAGCTCTTCTCCTCCTCCGGGGCCTGGGAGAAACTCTCCTCCTCTTCCGGAGGTGTGAGTTGAAAGTTTGTCAACTGACCGTCAACAAAGTCCATCATCGACCTCCGGCCTCAGCACCTGGTGCTCAAACATGGTGTTCATTATGGACCAACTATGACTATCCCAGAAAATTGAAGGGTGCTTTCTGACTCTGACTTTCCAAATAAAGAGAATCGTTACTTACTAAAGCAGTAATGACTCTCATTCTCAGAGATTTACCAGATACTTGCAGTTTTACAAATATACTGACGTTAACAGGCTTCAGAGAAAAGAAGAGTCTATTCCAGCTGAGAAGTTGTTACAGTTCAGAAATATTGTACCTAACACTATATTTGGAGGTATGTTTGCCTTGTACCATAAGACTGAAGTTTAAAATCGGTGGTTTGGTTTGACAGAAATCCTTCTCTCTCTATGGCTTTGCTTTGCTCTAAACATTGCATATCACTCTGCTCACACCGAAAGCTCCTGATAACCATCAACAACATGAAATCATTGCAATACAAAAACTCAACAGTGTGTAGTCTGTACTTTTATAATAAACATAAAACCGGGGGCGACAGTAGCTCAGTTGGTAGAGCATTGGCCTTAAGGCCAGAAGGTCGTGGGTTCAATTCCCACCTCTGCACCTTCTCCACCGACTCCCACTGATGACTGCTGTCGTTGTGTCCTTGGGCAAGACACTTAACCCCACTTTGCCCAAAGCCCCCACTGAAAGATCAAGGCTATGCTCACAGTCAGAGAGCAGCCGTCCTCCTGTGGACTCACCACCTGCAGAGGGTCAGTGAGGGGCTGGTGCTGTGAGACTTGGGTGGCATCTCTGACTGCCACCCCCCTGACCCAGAAATGGATTAAAGGGTAGAAAATGGATGGATGGATGGATAAAACATGTTGCAGTCTAACTGAAGAAAGGTGCTTGTAAAAAAACACAATTATGACTGAATAAAATCCTGAAACTAAATTGAATGCAATTTCTGGGATGGTATCATAGTTTAAGGACTTATCAGGACCATAGACTGTATACAAATGGTCAAAGCGAACCCGCTAGCTCGCATAGCTTAGCCCCCTTAAAAATCTGACGGGTCTGTGCGGCCCCCCAAAATAATAACCAAGAAGACAATGTTAAAAGTAGGCTCTTCTCGTTATTTAATTTGGGTAATGTAAATGACGCACCCCATTTTGTAATACAAAAATGATTACAATTTGATTATTCAAGTCAAATAATGAACAAAAATATTTTAATATTATGTGGCTTTATGTGTTTCTTATTATTGTGTTACTTACTGACATTTAGCCACATCGTGTGTTCGAGGGTTATGTTTCGACTCCTGGACTTATAGAATCTAAAGCCGGAGTCAGAGAGCTTTACTTCTTGGATTCTCAGAAACACATCAGTTTTATTGGAGCTCATGTGAAACCTCCCGTCTGTAAATCCATCACAAACTGATGGTTCACCTTCAGATCCAAAAACTGATGCAATGCAGCGAGATTTAGATCCAGTCCCCAGAAGAATCCAGTCCACTTTAGATTCTTCTTTAGAGTAGTTTGAACACGACAAAGTAACAGTCTCTCCTTGATGAACGTTCCATAATTCTGATCTAACACTGACATCTGTAAATGACAAAGACGTCACTAAAAGCTGTGAAGAGTTGGAGATAAAAGCTAAAGTGTATGTTACTCACAGAGAAGAGAGAGAGCAGAAGGAGCCTGAAGGTCTTCATAGTGATGACTCTGGTCTGAGCCTCTAATACTCTGCTTTGCCTTTTTATATCTAAGACAATGGGAGGAGCGTCTCTCTGTCTTTCATGCCATCCTCTAATGCTACTGGCCTCACATTTAAAGAAGAAGAATATTTACTTCATTGATCCCACAATGGAGAAATTTGGTTCGATGAATATTCATACACACATTTCACATCAAGGCAAACTAGCTTTTAACTTTGTTCTTTTGAGAAACTCCTGAATCATGAAGCACTTTCCTTTAAACAACAGATAATCCAGAACTGTGCTCCCTCACCCAAAAATGTTGAAGTTTTATCCATGAAAACATCAGTCACAAACACGTCCCCCCACCCCTTCTGTTCAAATGCTCCGTTTTCAAACCCGCTAAGACGAGTTCTTGACTATGACCTGGAACATGTTCAACAGAAGAATGATGAGGTTTTTACAAAGATACAGAACAACATGAAGAGGATTGTCTGTATCATGCCTCCAACCTCCTTTATGGTCCTTAAGATGTTGATGTCACCTTCAAAACAAACATATTGATTCTAAATTACTTTTGGGAATCGGCCTAATCTCTTTGTTTTGAATTAGATGGTTGGATTTTAGAATATTCCAACAAGATGTAGTTTCTCACTCCTACCACTGGATGGGAGTGTTCTGCTCATTCTGATCATGTCTTTTCCATTCTACAAGTAAATCCTTATATTTATTATCACAGAAATATAAAACACCAAAGAAATGTTAAAGCCAAAATAAACAAATAAATCATCTGTGTCATTGTTTAACCTTGTAACGATTGGTCTAGTGTTTTAAATCTATGTTTAATGATGTTTTATGACTTATATTAATGCCATGGAGAAAATCCAATCTCAAAATTGTTTGAAATGGGCAAATCTTTATTACTTTGTTCCACTCTGTCAGCGTCTACTTTCTATTCTCTCAGAGACGGATAAATGTGGTTAAGTCCAATGTGGTCTCAGCAACATGGCACAGACCTGACAACAGTTGTGTATCGAGATAGAGTTCCATGTAATGTCCATGAGAGAGACCAGAATCTGTACTATGTGTGGAGTTTGCAGGTTCTCCCCCGTGTCTGCGTAGGTTATCTCCGGGTGCTACGGTTTTCCCGACCACTAAAGTTATGTACAATAGGTCTTGCATGTGCCTCCTGCGACATTCCCCCATCTCAGTGAGGAGTGAGAGACAAAACAAAAGAAAAAGAAGAGTCCAGTTGCTACATGCATCAGTATCGTCCTGCTTTGGTCCACTTCAATACGAGACTGTCCAGAGACTTCATCTTGTACTCGAGTAAACCACATGAGGCTCCATCTGTCTGAGTGAACGCTGTGGTCTTTGTGCAGCTCTGACATTGACTTCTGCGTAGTTCAGCTCCTGGGACTCAATCTGAAATCCAACGGTTTTGAAAACATTAAATATGCTAAAACAATGATATCAGTCGAAAGAATTACAATCTCACCTCGTTGGAGTTTTCCTGCAGTTCTTTAATGACTGAAACAAGGAGGACAGTGTTCTCTTAGCAGTGTCATCATGGTATATTTATTGTGTCGCACATTTAGGACTTTAAAAAAGCCCAAAGTGAGGGAGAAAGCATGAACTGTAGAAACGAGAAGACAAAGCTATCGCCCGTTTACATCAAGTCTGGCTCCAGTTTAATGACACCTTTGTTATTTTAGTGAACTTTTAGAATGAGATCCAAAAGTACGTCCTGGGATTATTTTTAGTGGGTCATGAGGCAACTTTTTTAAGATACTGACTGACTATGCTATAACAAAATAGTCAAAGATGTAAAATCAAAATGCATTTTACGGAGCCACTGGTTCAGACAATGTGTTTGAGTCACGTTTCATCTTCAATGTTGTCACTGTTAGAAGAAGGTTTTTGTCCAGAATCTCACGAGACATGGCTCCATTCATCTTTCACTTTATACAGATCACTTGTCCTGTCCTCTTTGCAGAAAAACAGCCCCGAATCCTCATGTTTCCACCTCCATGCTTCACTTTGGGTAAGGTGTATGGGATGCAACTCGGTATTTCTTCTAAGTTTTTACCGATAACATTTACTCTTGTTGCATCTGACCACTTCATATTCTCCCAGGCTTCTTGTGGATCTTCCAGATGTTCAGTAGAAAACTACAGAAGGCCTGGACATGATCTGGATTCAGCAGGGGGCGCTACATTCCAATAACACCTTAACTAACCACTGTGAAGCAACGCAGTGGGAAGTTTCTGTTTCTCAGTGACACTCTTTAAACATCACAGCTCTAGCTAAGATCCGTGTGGAAGAATGGGCCAAAATAGCAGGGGTCCCTCGATTCACCTCTGTAACGTAACCATTGACGGCATTGACAAAATATTCAGTTTAACTTTTGTTATTTGGCAAATAATACATTTCTGCACAATTGTACACATAAACTGTAAACTTCATTACTTTCTTTTTTCCACATTTCACTCACAGTTGAAGTTTACTCTAATAACATTTAATGACTCTCCTCTTTTACTTTGAGTGAGAAAACTTGCACAATCAGCAATCACCGATGTACCTTTCTGAAGACTTCTGTTCTTCAGGGCAAGAACAGCCACAACGACAGAAAGAATTCCACTCAGAAGCCCAAACGTGACGGCCATTGGACATACTCCACTGAAGGGGCCTGGAAATAAGGATTAGTTTAGTTCATACAAGAACTGATGATAATATGTGTAGAGCCCTGTTTCCACCAGCTCGGCCTGGATAGAACCAAAGACTGTAAATATTAACGGATGTAGTGACGCCTATCTCTGCCGACTTTTGTGTCAACACGTTTCCCTCCTGAGGTCTTTTTAAAATGGCAGCGAGCAGCCCCAAGATGAATTTGCGCATTTGTTAGCTGCACGAGCCACTTTCATTCCATGAGTGCCTTTAAAAGTCAACAGCGGCTGAACTAGACAGGTCCGAAAAATATACTCCCCTCAACTTCGACAGCATCTGGAACCAAGAGCCACTTTTGGATCAAGAGCCACTTTTGGACCAAGAACCACTTTTGGATCGAGAGCCACTTTTGGACCAAGAGCAAGTTTTGGACCAAGAGCGAGTTTTGGACCAAGAGCAAGTTTTGGACCAAGAGCGAGTTTTGGACTAACCCTTAGAGATGTTTTTGAGAGGAAACAAGTGATCGAATATAGAATCTACAGCCGTACCGACCGGAGTCAGAGAGCTTTACTTCTTGGATTCTCAGAAACACATCAGTTTTATTGGAGCTCATGTGAAACCTCCCGTCTGTAAATCCATCACAAACTGATGGTTCACCTTCAGATCCAAAAACTGATGCAATACAGCGAGATTTAGATCCAGTCCCCAGAAGAATCCAGTCCACTTTAGATTCTTCTTTAGAGTAGTTTGAACACGACAAAGTAACAGTCTCTCCTTGATGAACGTTCCATAATTCTGATCTAACACTGACATCTGTAAATGACAAAGACGTCACTAAAAGCTGTGAAGAGTTGGAGATAAAAGCTAAAGTGTATGTTACTCACAGAGAAGAGAGAGAGCAGAAGGAGCCTGAAGGTCTTCATAGTGATGACTCTGGTCTGAGCCTCTAATACTCTGCTTTGCCTTTTTATATCTAAGACAATGGGAGGAGCGTCTCTCTGTCTTTCATGTCTTTGTGACTGCTCACGGCTGTATCACTTAAAATCACTAGCTGTAGAGAAACGCCTGAGTATCATATGGAAATGACCTAATGTACTTTTGGGACCTTTTCAGAGCTGCCACAGACAGCTTGGATGACTACACGGACACTGTGACGTCATACATTCACTTCTGCAAGGATAGCATTATTCCAACACGGACCAGGGTCATCTATAACAACGACAAACCCTGGTTCACTGCTAAACTCCGGCAGCTCAGGAAAGCAAAGGAGTCTGCTTTCAGGGAGGGTGACCGCAGCGTCTACAAAGCAGCTAAATATCAGTTCAGGAAAGAACTGAAAGCAGCCAAGTCCTGGCACAGAGAACGACTACAGGAGCAGTTTGGTAACAACGATACTGCTTCTGTCTGGAGGGGCCTACGGGAGATCACCAACTACAAGTTATGTCCTCTGACGAACTTCTGTTGTGATTTAGGGCAATATAAGAATACATTGAATTGAATTTAATCTTTTTAGCCTTAAACACTATTAACTTTGACCTTTCAGCCTTCAGAACATTTTCAATTAAATTCAGTCCAAATCACATCAATCACATTGTTCTAAATCACAACAGCAGTTTACTCAGAGGACTTCACAAAGGTGTCGATTCACCAACACAGATCAGAGAATAAGACGGTTGAAACACAGGAAATGCAATGATTAAAAATAATCATGTAAGTAACAGGAAGTCACAGACTAGGAAATTGCTTTGGCTCTCGGTGCAAACAAGTCAAAAGTAGAGAAGAGTAAGGCACAAAACATACAGTACTTCATAGAATACTTATTTTTGTTATATTTTACTGCTATCCCGTTTACTACTGTTTCTGTTGCAGTAAGAAATGTGTAAATATTGAAACAACGTTAAGACAGCCTTCTGCTTCGATGCTAAACCACATTTTGTGCATTGTTCTGAACACGGTGATGACGAAAGAAGAATCTAATCTAATAAACGTGTACGGCCAAAACAGTTACAATGAGGCTTAAGAAATACAAAGTCTGTGTTTTTGAGCCGCCATCACAAAGCCCTGATCTCAGTCCCAGAACAGAGACGTGGACGGATCTCAAATTAGTTTTTAGTTTAGTTTATTCACAATTCACACAGTCCCTGAAAGTACATGTGCTACATTTTGAAAATGGAACTCCCAGAAGCCCGTCCATCCCCACGCACACACTGAAGGAGAGTGGGGCCCGTCCATCCCCACGCACACACTGAAGGAGAGTGGGGCCCGTCCATCCCCACGCACACACTGAAGGAGAGTGGGGCCCGTCCATCCCCACGCACACACTGAAGGAGAGTGGGGCCTGTCCATCCCCACGCACACACTGAAGGAGAGTGGGGCCTGTCCATCCCCACGCACACACTGAAGGAGAGTGGGGCCCGTCCATCCCCACGCACACACTGAAGGAGAGTGGGGCCCGTCCATCCCCACGCACATACTGAAGGAGAGTGGGGCCCGTCCATCCCCACGCACATACTGAAGGAGAGTGGGGCCCGTCCATCCCCACGCACACACTGAAGGAGAGTGGGGCCCGTCCATCCCCACGCACATACTGAAGGAGAGTGGGGCCCGTCCCCGAGCCATCATTGTTCGTTTCCTGCACTTTCAAGTCAAAGAACTGGTCATGACACACGCGTGGAGACTCAAGCCCGCGTACAAGGGACACCCGGTGTACTTCAATGAGGATTATACTGCAGAGACTATGAAGAAGCGGAGACAAGTACGTGATGTGATCAAGCAGCTGAAGGACAGGAACATACGAGCGCAGTCCCCGTACCCCGCCCGTCTGAAAATGGATGGGGGGGGCGAAGTCTTTCCCAAGTCTGGCCGCTGCAGCCCCCGTGCTGCGTGACCTGGGGATACACGTGAAGGAGGAGGATATGGAGACACTGAAGGGTGAGCTGGTGAAGGGGATGTGGAATGTAGTGACTGATAGAGGAGAGACTGCATAAAGACTGCAGAGGACAAATGAGTGCACTTCACACCTGAAGCCACAGGTACTAACATTTTGAACACGTCCTAGAACTTTCTCATTATAATACTCTGGACTGGAGCCTACTTTTGTTGAATAATTAAGCCCAATTGAATAAATAAAGGACATATAAATAAATATTGGCAAGAGGGGTTTATTAATTGTCACTATAGAATTTAAAGAAGGAGCAAATAGCGCGTTTTTGGTATTAAGTTAGTTAATTCGTTATTTCTCTTAAGTTATTTTGTTGTGTTTTTCTGAAAAACAGTTTGTGTATGAGTGAGAGTGACTGTGTGCATGTGTGTGTGCTGGAGTGTGTGTGTGTTTTTGTGCTCTTGTGTCTGAATCTGTCCTGTGTGAGTGAATGTTTGTATGCTTGTCAGTGTGGTTCAGTGTCAGATCAGAGTGATGGATGTGTGAATATGTCCCATGTGAATGTGACTGTATGTGGTGTAAGATTGGACCTGGTTACTGTGAATGCAAATACAGAGTTGACCTCCATGGCAGTTAAAATGGTTAATTTGTATCCTAACATCCAATATAATCCAGGATGATGGCTTCTTCTGCTAAACTCCCTAAAAAAGGGTCTAAAATTAGGACATTTAAACATTTGCAGCCTAAGGAATAAAACTATTGAAATATCAAATATTATATTAGAATATAATTTACATATCCTGGCTGTAACAGAGACTCATTTAGATTCCACAATAGAATATGCGGTTATTAATATACAAGGGTACAATGTATTTAGAAAAGATAGAAATTCTAATGGTGGTGGAGTCGCTGTCTACATTCAGGAGCACATACCTGCCAAGATAAGAATGGACTTGATGATGCCTAATATTGAAATACTGTGGCTTCAAGTGCACCTTCCATATTTAAAACCAGTACTAGTGGGGTGTTGTTGCCGCCCTCCTAATGCTGATGCTGAGTACTTAGAGGACATGTGCACTATGATAGACAATGTGTGTGATAATCAAAACAATATTTTTCTCATGGGAGATTTTAATATTGAATGGAATAATGCACAGTGCCCATTGAGAAGTAAACTTTATTCAATTACTGAGACATGTGGCTTAACCCAACTTGTAACCACACCAACTCCAATATGTTGTCGGCGAGATGGCACAAAAACATCTACACTAATTGATTATATTCTTACAAATGTTGCTGATCGCTGCAGTAAAGCTGTATCAGTTCCTGTAGGCTGCAGTGACCACAACTTTGTAGCAGTGGTAAGAAAGACAAAAGTCCCTAAAGAGGACCCTAAGGTAATATTAAAAAGGTCATACAAAAATTTAATACTGAGCACTTTTATGAAGATGTCCGTAATATTTGCAGGGATGAGATTTTAAGGATTGATAATCCAAATTTTGCAGTAGAAAGATTTAATGAATTATTTTTGGAAGTGAGCAATAAACACGCTCCTATAAGAAAGCGAACAGTGAGGAAAACCAGAGTGGGATCGATGAGGAATTGAAGGACTTCATGAGACAAAGAGATGAGGCAAAAAATATGGCAAACAATACTAATCTAGAATCTGATTGGCAAGTGTACCGCAAATTGAGAAATTATGTGACAAAGTTAAACAAAAAGAAAAAGAAGTTGCACTATGAAAATATGATTAAAAATGATAAACATGATAGTAAGAAATTATGGAGCGTTCTAAATAATATACTTGGAAGAAATGCCAAATCCACACCATCGTTTCTGGAATCAGATGGGCAGTTTATGACAAAGCCCTTGGATATAGCAAATCATCCATCCATCCATCCATTTTCTACCCTTTAATCCATTTCTGGGTCAGGGGGGTGGCAGTCAGAGATGCCACCCAAGTCTCATAGCACCAGCCCCTCACTGACCCTCTGCAGGTGGTGAGTCCACAGGAGGACGGCTGCTCTCTGAGTGTGAGCATAGCCTTGATCTTTCAGTGGGGGCTTTGGGCAAAGTGGGGTTAAGTGTCTTGCCCAAGGACACAACGACAGCAGTCATCAGTGGGAGTCGGTGGAGAAGGTGCAGAGGTGGGAATTGAACCCACGACCTTCTGGCCTTAAGGCCAATGCTCTACCAACTGAGCTACTGTCGCCCACTTATAGCAAATCATCTAAGTGATTATTTTTCCGTGTGTGCGTGTGTGTGTGTGCGTGTGTGTGTGTGAAAGTGAGTGGATGTTTATGTAAGTTGAATTTTTTTTAGTATTATTTGTTTTGTTGTATTCTGTGTTCTGTTTTTGTGTTTTTAATGTAATAATTTCTGTTTCTCACATGTGACGCCAAGGAGCGAAATGTTTTTTTCAAAATGTATGTGAGACAACGACTCCAGGAAGAATAGCTGTTTTTATACAGCTAATGGAGATCGTAATAAATACAAATACAAGTATAGAGGTATTGTTCATTTATCTTGTGCTGTGTGCTCCTCATTCCTACTGCTGATGCACCAACATATTAATCTTATGTTGTCTACACATTAGAGTTGGTGAATCTATTTGAAAAAAAAGGCCTCTTACCTTGGATTGTTAAAAATGTGCTTGTAAAAATCACAGATCTGTTGTTGAGCTGTTCCCCACAGAAGTACAGACCAAAGTCGTCCATCTCCACGGTCCTGACGGTCAAATAAACCTGGGAATCGTTTAATTCCATCCTATATTTCTCCCATTTGTTTGTCTTTGTGGCGTTGAAAGTAACCTTGCCGTTTGCGTCAACCATTGAACGGATCAGACTCGTGTTGCGTTGATTTGCGTGGAACCAAAATGTCCGTCGCCTCGGTTCCAGGTTTGAGGGTTTGGTGCAGTCGAGAGTCACGTCAGAACCAAGTGGGACCTCCACGACCGAGAACTGGCCGTTTGTGAGTAAGACAAAGCCTGGGACGTAGAAGTTATTAAATTATTACAAAACTATCTAAGACTATTTCATCCTGCCTGTTCTATGCATAGTTGGTCTACGGTGTGGTCATCGCTGAATTGGTCTTAATTTTAAAACAACAGGATACTAAAAACAACATAATACAATATAATATAAACAAGGACAATTAATGAACAGGTGAAACTTTGAAAATTGGGAGAGTATAGAATCAAATCTTTTTACTGTCGAGCAAAGGTGAAAATTCATCTTTGATCAATGTCACATAAAAACACATTTAAGAGAAAATTAAAGTAATAAAGTATGCAACCAGCGATGACCACAAAATGTAGACCAACCAACTGAATGAGGCCGGAAATAAAGGTCAATGATAAACCTGAGAACATGAAGGAGAAAACGTCTGCGTCAGAATGGACTCAAATCAGATTAAATACTTACAAAAGGCGACAGGTACAATCTGGTGAAGATCCATTGTGGAAATGAAGTCTCTTGAGTATTGGCAGCGATTGGAGATAATCCCGCTGATGCTCATGTGTGTTAGGTTCATAGACAGAGAGAGAGAGCGAGAGAAAGAGAAAGAGAGAGAGAGGGGGAAAGAGAAAGAGAGCGAGAGAGAGAGCAGGAGGAGTCATAATAACCACAGAAATGGTATTAGTCCCCGTGTCACTGTTATCTGCTGCATCTGAACTCTTTGTTGTTTCAAGGACTGTTAAGTTCTGTTCTGCACTTGTATAACACTGTATTGAGACGATTATCTATTTAAAATTCATGACTTTAGTTAAACCAACAATGGACAACTTGTTGTGTACTTAAAATGTATGTATTTAGAGTTATGTGTTTCCTAAAGGTCTTCAACAGCAGCTCCACAATGTGTCTGGACCCGAGATTCTCCAGACGTCAGAGCACAGGAGAATCTGGGCACTGAGAATAAACCGGTATTTCCTTTTCTGCGCCTCCATTTTCATCCATTTTATCCCCTTCATCTATTTCTGGGTCTGATCCTGCAGGTGGTCCTCTTTGATCCTCCTGCAGGTGGTCCTCTTTGATCCTCCTGCAGGTGGTCCTCTCTGATCCTCCTGCAGGTGGTCCTCTCTGATCCTCGTGCAGGTTTTCCTCTTTGATCCTCCTGCAGGTGGTCCTCTCTGATCCTCCTGCAGGTGTTCCTCTCTGATCCTCCTGCAGGTGGTCCTCTCTGATCCTCCTGCAGGTGTTCCTCTCTGATCCTCCTGCAGGTGGTCCTCTCTGATCCTCGTGCAGGTTTTCCTCTTTGATCCTCCTACAGGTGGTCCTCTCTGATCCTCCTGCAGGTGTTCCTCTTTGATCCTCCTGCAGGTGTGCCTCTTTGATCCTCGTGCAGGTGTTCCTCTTTGATCCTCGTGCAGGTGTTCCTCTTTGATCCTCCTGCAGGTGGTCGTCTTTGATCCTCGTGCAGGTGTTCCTCTTTGATCCTCCTGCAGGTGTTCCTCTTTGATCCTCGTGCAGGTGTGCCTCTTTGATCCTCGTGCAGGTGTTCCTCTTTGATCCTCATGCAGGTGTTCCTCTTTGATCCTCGTGCAGGTGTTCCTCTCTGATCCTCCTGCAGGTTTTCCTCTTTGATCCTCCTGCAGGTGGTCCTCTCTGATCCTCCTGCAGGTTTTCCTCTTTGATCCTCCTGCAGGTGTTCCTCTCTGATCCTCCTGCAGGTTTTCCTCTTTGATCCTCCTGCAGGTGTTCCTCTCTGATCCTCCTGCAGGTTTTCCTCTTTGATCCTCCTGCAGGTGTTCCTCTGTGATCCAGGTGGTCCTCTTTGATCCTCCTGCAGGTGTTCCTCTCTGATCCTCCTGCAGGTGTTCCTCTCTGATCCTCCTGCAGGTGTTCCTCTTTGATCCTCCTGCAGGTGGTCCTCTTTGATCCTCCTGCAGGTGGTCCTCTTTGATCCTCCTCCTGTGTGTTCAGTGTTCATTGTTTACTGGTCGAGGTAACATGGTCAAGCCTTGATACAGGCGATGGGACAGCAGGTGAATAGCAATGATCATTAAGACTACAGTAGAACCTGAACTAGAACCTATACCTTACCATATTCCTCCAGCAGGGGGCTCCATTTGCAACGTCACTGACAGTTCCATTCTTCCGCTGAGAAAATCGATGTTACATTTCTGTGTTACTATACTTTGTAGAGTAACACATCACGTAACTGTATGTAAATAGGGAACACGTGGAAGAGTTTGGGAGCTTCTAACGGGAGCTGATTTGGTACTATACAGTCTGTGGAAGAGGCTGCGTTTGTGCTCCGTTTGCATGACAGAGCGCACGGACACAGACCAGACAGGTACATATCAGCTAGTCTAAGGTAAGAACATGTGTCAGTATGTAAAAACGGTGGCCTATTCCTTTAATATTTAGATTTATTTCAATTTAGAAAAGTTTGTGATCCAACTTTTAATTTAACCCATAGGACCAATGGCTTTATGTGTTTCTTATTATTGTGTTACTTACTGACATTTAGCCACATCGTGTGTTCGAGGGTTATGTTTCGACTCCTGGACTTATAGAATCTACAGCCGTACCGACCGGAGTCAGAGAGCTTTACTTCTTGGATTCTCAGAAACACATCAGTTTTATTGGAGCTCATGTGAAACCTCCCGTCTGTAAATCCATCACAAACTGATGGTTCACCGTCAGATCCAAAAACTGATGCAATACAGCGAGATTTAGATCTAGCCCCCAGAAGAATCCAGTCCACTTGAGATTCTTCTTTAGAGTAGTTTGAACACGACAAAGTAACAGTCTCTCCTTGATGAACGTTCCATAATTCTGATCTAACACTGACATCTGTAAATGACAAAGACGTCACTAAAAGCTGTGAAGATTTGGAGATAAAAGCTAAAGTGTATGTTACTCACAGAGAAGAGAGAGAGCAGAAGGAGCCTGAAGGTCCTCATAGTGATGACTCTGGTCTGAGCCTCTAATACTCTGCTTTGCCTTTTTATATATCTAAGACAATGGGAGGAGCGTCTCTCTGTCTTTCATGCCATCCTCTAATGCTACTGGCCTCACATTTAAAGAAGATGAATATTTACTTCATTGATCCCACAATGGAGAAATTTGGTTCGATGAATATTCATACACACATTTCACATCAAGGCAAACTAGCTTTTAACTTTGTTCTTTTGAGAAACTCCTGAATCATGAAGCACTTTCCTTTAAACAACAGATAATCCAGAACTGTGCTCCCTCACCCAAAAATGTTGAAGTTTTATCCATGAAAACATCTGTCACAAACACGTCCCCCCACCCCTTCTGTTCAGAATGCTCCGTTTTCAAACCCGCTAAGACAAGTTCTTGACTATGACCTGGAACATGTTCAACAGAAGAATGATGAGGTTTTTACAAAGATACAGAACAACATGAAGAGGATTGTCTGTATCATGCCTCCAACCTCCTTTATGGTCCTTAAGTTGTTGATGTCCCCTTCAAAACAAACATATTGATTCTAAATTACTTTTGGGAATCGGTCTAATCTCTTTGTTTTGAATTAGATGGTTGGATTTTAGAATATTCCAACAAGATGTAGTTTCTCACTCCTACCACTGGATGGGAGTGTTCTGCTCATTCTGATCATGTCTTTTCCATTCTACAAGTAAATCCTTATATTTATTATCACAGAAATATAAAACACCAAAGAAATGTTAAAGCCAAAATAAACAAATAAATCATCTGTGTCATTGTTTAACCTTGTAACGATTGGTCTAGTGTTTTAAATCTATGTTTAATGATGTTTTATGACTTATATTAATGCCATGGACAAAATCCAATCTCAAAATAGTTTGAAATGGGCAAATCTTTATTACTTTGTTCCACTCTGTCAGCGTCTACTTTCTATTCTCTCAGAGACGGATAAATGTGGTTAAACAGGAAGTCCAATGTGGTCTCAGCAACATGGCACAGACCTGACAACAGTTGTGTATCGAGATAGAGTTCCATGTAATGCCCATGAGAGAGACCAGAATCTGTACTATGTGTGGAGTTTGCAGGTTCTCCCCCGTGTCTGCGTAGGTTATCTCCGGGTGCTACGGTTTTCCCGACCACTAAAGTTATGTACAATAGGTCTTGCATGTGCCTCCTGCGACATTCCCCCATCTCAGTGAGGAGTGAGAGACAGAACAGAAGAGAAAGAAGAGTCCAGTTGCTACATGCATCAGTATCGTCCTGCTTTGGTCCACTTCAATACGAGACTGTCCAGAGACTTCATCTTGTACTCGAGTAAACCACATGAGGCTCCATCTGTCTGAGTGAACGCTGTGGTCTTTGTGCAGCTCTGACATTGACTTCTGCGTAGTTCAGCTCCTGGGACTCAATCTGAAATCCAACGGTTTTGAAAACATTAAATATGGTAAAACTATGATATCAGTCGAAAGAATTACAATCTCACCTCGTTGGAGTTTTCCTGCAGCTCTTTAATGACTGAAACAAGGATGACAGTGTTCTCTTAGCAGTGTTATCATGGTATATTTATTGTGTCGCACATTTAGGACTTTAAAAAAACCCAAAGTGACGGAGAAAGCATGAACTGTAGAAACGAGAAGACAAAGCTATCGCCCGTTTACATCAAGTCTGGCTTCAGTTTAATGACACCTTTGTTATTTCAGTGAACTTTTAGAATGAGACCTAAAAATACGTCCTGGGATTATTTTTAGTGGGTCATGAAGCAACATTTTTAAGATACTGACTGACTACAATGCAACAAAATAGTCAAAGATGTAAAATCAAAATGCATTTTACGGAGCCACTGGTTCACATGTGTTTGAGTCACGTTTCATCTTCAATGTTGTCACTGTTAGAAGAAGTTTTTGTCCAGAATCTCACAAGACATGGCTCCATTCATCTTTCACTTTATACAGATCACTTGTCCTGTCTTCTTTGCAGAAAAACAGCCCCGAATCCTCATGTTTCCACCTCCATGCTTCCCTTTGGGTAAGGTGTATGGGATGCAACTCGGTATTTGTTCTAAAGTTTTTTACCGATAACATTTATTCTTGTTGCATCTGACCACTTCATATTCTCCCAGGCCTCTTGTGGATCTTCCAGATGTTCAGTAGAAAACTACAGAAGGCCTGGACATGATCTGGATTCAGCAGGGGGCGCTACATTCCAATAACACCTTAACTAACCACTGTGAAGCAACGCGGTGAAAAAATTCTATTTTTCAGTGACACTCTTTAAACATCACAGCTCTAGCTAAGATCCGTGTGGAAGAATGGGCCAAAATAGCAGGGGTCCCTTGATTCACCTCTGTAAAGTAACCATGGACGGCATTGAGGAAATATTCAGTTTAACTTTTGTTATTTGGCAAATAATACATTTCTGCACAATTGTACACATAAACTGTACACTTCATTACTTTCTTTTTTCCACATTTCACTCACAGTTGAAGTTTACTCTAATAACATTTAATGACTCTCCTCTTTTACTTTGAGTGAGAAAACTTGCACAATCAGCAATCACAGATGTACCTTTCTGAAGACTTCTGTTCTTCAGGGCAAGAACAGCCACAACGACAGAAAGAATTCCACTCAGAAGCCCAAACGTGACGGCCATTGGACATACTCCACTGAAGGGGCCTGGAAATAAGGATTAGTTTATTTCATACAAGAACTGATGATAATATGTGTTGAGCCCTGTTTCCACCAGCTCGGCCTGCATAGAACCAAAGACTGTAAATATTAACAGATGTAGTGACGCCTATCTCTGCCGACTTTTGTGTCAACACGTTTCCCTCCTGTGGTCTTTTTAAAATGGCAGCGATTAGCCCCAAGATGCATTTGCGCATTTGTTAGCTGCACGAGCCACTTTCATTCCATGAGTGCCTTTAAAAGTCAACAGAGCTTAAACTTGTGGCAAGATGAGGTGAAAGTGAGACACAAAGAAAATGTAAAAAGTAATACAGTGAAAGTAACAATTCAGGGACTTGTGGGTAAAGTGTGCTCCTAACCACATATGCACTCAGGGCTCAGGTGAAACTTTAGTGCAAATAACCACCTGACGACAACTGATAATGGACTAGACAAGTTTTTCCTCAACACAAGAATCCAAAATGCCTTTGCTGAGTCTTCAGAAAATGATGGTAATCTCCCAAGTGCTACCAGGCTAACGGCGGAGCTACCTATTCCCAAACCTAGCAATGAAAATGCTTAAGATTGCTCGTGAGAAATTCTTGCTGCCATCAACTCTGCAAGCTGCGATTTCACAAAAAGTAAAGAAGATTTTGAGTCAAATTTTGCCAGATTATTGGCAGCTGACGAGTTGGATGACCGAGAGAAAAAGCTGAAACAAAAAAGCAAACCTGTACTGCTTTGACTACAACAAGAGAAGTGTCATGAGAGCAGCAGAAGAGACAAATCTACACCTCATCACTCTGTACACGGGTCTGTCCACTTCTCTGCCAGATAACTCCATCTCTGTCGGTAGTGCATCCAGCTCTTGTGATATTCAGATCTGACCTACTACATGACCATGTCTTTATACTCACCTGCTGCTCCGTGTCTCTTCACATTCGATTGTGTCTTGTCCCTGTATCTCCAGTCAGCTCTCGACCTCCTGTCTATGCTCCAGCTAAGTCGGCTTGCTCCCTTCCTCCACTGCCTGTTCTTCTGCAAGTGTTGTAATTTAACTTCTTAACTATTCTATCACAACGCTCTTTGTCTTTCTGGCTGAATGAGAAGCATTCAAAGCTTTCTAAGAAGCAACATGAACAAGCTCTAAACATATTTCTCGGAGGATAGAAATGGAACAATTATTTTCTGGTTATAGAGGGCAGGGTTCAGTGGCCCAAACGGTACACATTTGCACACACAACACAAAACAAACTAATGCACCCGTGCACATAAAAACAAGCTTTACATACTTACATAGGCATTATACATAATTATTATACATAATTTGCTCCGTGAGCTTTACATCCAGAACATAATGAAGGTCAAAAAATACGTGGTCATTCAGAGACTTTTTTATATGGTATTTTTTTATGTGACTTTTAATCACAGTTATCACCTGAGGATAGCCCTAAAGCAAGGCTGGAGAAAAGCTGAGTAAAGTACAATGGGGCCAAGTAGGGCTGGTGGAAACAGGGCTCCAGAAATACATGACATGATTAGAATCCTTACCTCCAGTTTGAGACTTTTCTTCCATCGTTGGGTTGGATGAATCTGCGTGGGTGGTTGAAATTCAAATACACTTTAATATTTCAATTTAGAAAAGTTTGTGATCCAACTTTTAACCCATAGGACCAATGGCTTTATTTTTGTGTTACTTACTGACAATTAGCCACATCGTGTGTTCGAGGGTTATGTTTCGACTCCTGGACTTATAGAATCTACAGCCGTACCGACCGGAGTCAGAGAGCTTTACTTCTTGGATTCTCAGAAACACATCAGTTTTATTGGAGCTCATGTGAAACCTCCCGTCTTTAAATCCATCACAAACTGATGGTTCACCTTCAGATCCAAAAACTGATGCAATGCAGCGAGATTTAGATCCAGCTCCCAGAAAAATCCAGTCCACTTGAGATTCTTCTTTAGAGTAGTTTGAACACGACAAAGTAACAGTCTCTCCTTGATGAACGTTCCATAATTCTGATCTAACACTGACATCTGTAAATGACAAAGACGTCACTAAAAGCTGTGAAGAGTTGGAGATAAAAGCTAAAGTGTATGTTACTCACAGAGAAGAGAGAGCAGAAGGAGCCTGAAGGTCTTCATAGTGATGACTCTGGTCTGAGCCTCTAATACTCTGCTTTGCCTTTTTATATCTAAGACAATGGGAGGAGCGTCTCTCTGTCTTTCATGCCATCCCCTAATGCTACTGGCCTCACATTTAAAGAAGAAGAATATTTACTTCATTGATCCCACAATGGAGATATTTGGTTCGATGAATATTCATACACACATTTCACATCAAGGAAAACTAGCTTTTAACTTTGTTCTTTTGAGAAACTACTGAATCATGAACGACTTTCCTTTAAACAACAGATAATCCAGAACTGTGCTCCCTCACCCAAAAATGTTGAAGTTTTATCCATGAAAACATCAGTCTCAAACACGTCCCCCCATCCCTTCTGTTCAAATGCTCCGTTTTCAAACCCGCTAAGACGAGTTCTTGTCTATGACCTGGAACATGTTCAACAGAAGAATGATGAGGTTTTTACAAAGATACAGAACAACATGAAGAGGATTGTCTGTGTCCTGCCTCCAACCTCCTTTATGGTCCTTAAGTTGTTGACGTCACCTCCCCGTTTTGGGAATCGGTCTAATCTCTTTGTTTTGAATTAGATGGTTGGATTTTAGAATATTCCAACAAGATGTAGTTTCTCACTCCTACCACTGGATGGGAGTGTTCTGCTCATTCTGATCATGTCTTTTCCATTCTACAAGTAAATCCTTATATTTATTATCACAGAAATATAAAACACCAAAGAAATGTTAAAGCCAAAATAAACAAATAAATCATCTGCGTCATTCTTTAACCTTGTAACGATTGGTCTAGTGTTTTAAATCTATGTTTTATGATGTTTTATGACTCATATTAATGCCATGGACAAAATCCAATCTCAAAATAGTTTGAAATGGGCAAATATTTATTACTTTGTTCCACTCTGTCAGCGTCTACTTTCTATTCTCTCAGAGACGGATAAATGTGGTTAAACAGGAAGTCCAATGTGGTCTCAGCAACATGGCACAGACCTGACAACAGTTGTGTATCGAGATAGAGTTCCATGTAATGTCCATGAGAGAAACCAGAATCTGTACTATGTGTGGAGTTTGCAGGTTCTCCCCCCGTGTCTACGTAGGTTATCTCCGGGTGCTACGGTTTTCCCGACCACTAAAGTCATGTACAATAGGTCTTGCATGTGCCTCCTGCGACATTCCCCCATCTCAGTGAGGAGTGAGAGACAGAACAGAAGAGAAAGAAGAGTCCAGTTGCTACATGCATCAGTATCGTCCTGCTTTGGTCCACTTCAATACGAGACTGTCCAGAGACTTCATCTTGTACTCGAGTAAACCACATGAGGCTCCATCTGTCTGAGTGAACGCTGTGGTCTTTGTGCGGCTCTGACATTGACTTCTGCGTAGTTCAGCTCCTGGGACTCAATCTGAAATCCAACGGTTTTGAAAACATTAAATATGGTAAAACAATGATATCAGTCGAAAGAATTACAATATCACCTCGTTGGAGTTTTCCTGCAGCTCTTTAATGACTGAAACAAGGAGGACAGTGTTCTCTTAGCAGTATCATCATGGTATATTTATTGTGTCGCACATTTAGGACTTCAAAAACCCAAAGTGAGGGAGAAAGCATGAACTGTAGAAACGAGAAGACAAAGCTATCGCCCGTTTACATCAAGTCTGGCTTCAGTTTAATGACACCTTTGTTATTTCAGTGAACTTTTAGAATGAGACCTAAAAATACGTCCTGGGATTATTTTTAGTGGGTCATGAAGCAACATTTTTAAGATACTGACTGACTACAATGCAACAAAATAGTCAAAGATGTAAAATCAAAATGCATTTTACGGAGCCACTGGTTCACATGTGTTTGAGTCACGTTTCATCTTCAATGTTGTCACTGTTAGAAGAAGGTTTTTGTCCAGAATCTCACAAGACATGGCTCCATTCATCTTTCACTTTATACAGATCACTTGTCCTGTCTTCTTTGCAGAAAAACAGCCCCGAATCCTCATGTTTCCACCTCCATGCTTCCCTTTGGGTAAGGTGTATGGGATGCAACTCGGTATTTGTTCTAAAGTTTTTACCGATAACATTTATTCTTGTTGCATCTGACCACTTCATATTCTCCCAGGCCTCTTGTGGATCTTCCATATGTTCAGTAGAAAACTACAGAAGGTCTGGACATGATCTGGATTCAGCAGGGGGCGCTACATCCCAAGAACACCTTAACTAACCACTGTGAAGCAACGCTGTGAAAAGTTTCTATTTTTTAGTGACACTCTTTAAACATCACAGCTCTAGCTAAGATCCGTGTGGAAGAATGGGCCAAAATAGCAGGGGTCCCTTGATTCACCTCTGTAAAGTAACCATGGACGGCATTGAGGAAATATTCAGTTTAACTTTTGTTATTTGGCAAATAATACATTTCTGCACAATTGTACACATAAACTGTACACTTCATTACTTTCTTTTTTCCACATTTCACTCACAGTTGAAGTTTACTCTAATAACATTTAATGACTCTCCTCTTTTACTTTGAGTGAGAAAACTTGCACAATCAGCAATCACAGATGTACCTTTCTGAAGACTTCTGTTCTTCAGGGCAAGAACAGCCACAATGACAGAAAGAATTCCACTCAGAAGCCCAAACGTGACGGCCATTGGACATACTCCACTAAAGGGGCCTGGAAATAAGGATTAGTTTATTTCATACAAGAACTGATGACAATATGTGTTGAGCCCTGTTTCCACCAGCTCGGCCTGCATAGAACCAAAGACTGTAAATATTAACAGATGTAGTGACGCCTATCTCTGCCGACTTTTGTGTCAACACGTTTCCCTCCTGTGGTCTTTTTAAAATGGCAGCGATTAGCCCCAAGATGCATTTGCGCATTTGTTAGCTGCACGAGCCACTTTCATTCCATGAGTGCCTTTAAAAGTCAACAGCGGCGGAACTAGACAGGTCCGAAAAATATACTCCCCTCAACTTCGAAAGCATCTGGAACCAAGAGCCACTTTTGGATCAAGAGCCACTTTTGGACCAAGAACCACTTTTGGACCAAGAACCACTTTTGGACCAAGAGCCACTTTTGGACCTGAGCCACTTTTGGACAAAGTGCCACTTTTGGACCAAGAGCGAGATTTGGACCAAGAGCCACTTTTGGACCAACAGCCACTTTTGGACCAAGAGCCACTTTTGGATCGAGAGCCACTTTTGGACTAAGAGCCACTTTTGGATCGAGAGCCACTTTTGGATCAAGAGCCACTTTTGGCCCAAGTGCCACTTTTGGACCAAGAGCGAAATTTGGACCAAGAGCCACTTTTGGACCAAGAGCCACTTTTGGACCAAGAGCCACTTTTGGACCATCCCTTAGAGATGTTTTTGAGAGGAAACAAGTGATCGTAAGAATGCACTGGATGATTACTTTTCCGGGTACAGCATCACCGGCCCGGAGTCATATTGCAGGCCTTTCAGAGCACGCACTCATGGACCTTGTTGAGCCGGGACCCACCCAGACTGGATAGAACCCGGGCCAAGCAAGTACCAAAAATGTACCTGGTACTGTACCGCTAAAGAAGAGCCGGGGAAACGCTCCTAATCAGGCGACAGTAGAGCTGAGATAAAGTAGAGTAGAGTAAAGTAGAGTAAAGTAGAGTAAAGTGGAGTAAAGTAGAGTAAAGTAGAGTAAAGTAGAGTGGGGCCAAGTAGGGCTGGTGGAAAAACATGACAATTAGAATCTCTACCTTCAGTTTGAGACTCTTCTTCCTTTGTTGCGTTGGTTGAATCTGTGTTGGTTGAATCTGTGTTGGTTGTATCTGTGTTGGTTGATGAAATGCAAGTACACGTTAGTATTTTGTGATTTACATCAATTTGAAAAAAGTTTGTGATCCAACTTTGAACTCATAGAACCAATGGCTCTATGTGTTTCTTATTGTTGTGACAAAAACTTTGTAAAGTTCTCAGAGACGACTGCTGTTAATTTAGGGCTGTACAAAAACAAATACAGTGATGCATGTGAGAACGCAAACATTATTATTCAAATGCCACTTACTGACAATTAGCCACATCGTGTGTTCGAGGGTTATGTTTCGACTCCTGGACTTATAGAATCTACAGCCGTACCGACCGGAGTCAGAGAGCTTTACTTCTTGGATTCTCAGAAACACATCAGTTTTATTGGAGCTCATGTGAAACCTCCCGTCTTTAAATCCATCACAAACTGATGGTTCACCGTCAGATCCAAAAACTGATGCAATGCAGCGAGATTTAGATCCAGCTCCCAGAAAAATCCAGTCCACTTGAGATTCTTCTTTAGAGTAGTTTGAACACGACAAAGTAACAGTCTCTCCTTGATGAACGTTCCATAATTCTGATCTAACACTGACATCTGTAAATGACACAGACGTCACTAAAAGCTGTGAAGAGTTGGAGATAAAAGCTAAAGTGTATGTTACTCACAGAGAAGAGAGAGCAGAAGGAGCCTGAAGGTCTTCATAGTGATGACTCTGGTCTGAGCCTCTAATACTCTGCTTTGCCTTTTTATATCTAAGACAATGGGAGGAGCGTCTCTCTGTCTTTCATAGAGACTTACTTGTGTGAGTGGAGGTCTCTGCAGCCTCACTCTGGAGCCTCTGGAGCTGTGCACACACAGAGAACAGGTACTGCTGTCCAGGCCTCAGGTATCTGATGGTCACTCTGGTTTCCTCAGTTTGGAATTCTTGTACGACATCTTCTCCACTGGAACAGGTCACTGAGTAGTTCTGCACTTCACCAGCAGGGGGCTCCCAGGACAGAGTCACACTGTCAGCTCTGATGTCACTCACTGTGAACGCTGCTGGCTGACCAGGCTCTGAACAGAAAGAAGAAAAAAAACTGACGATAAAAATGTATTCTTTATGTTTTATTCATAATAATGCATCGGTTTTATATAGCGCTTTTTTGGACACTCAAGGACGCTTCACATGTCATTATTCTTTCACTCCATACACGGTGGTGATAAACTACTACTGTAGCCACAGCTGCCCTGGGGCACACTGACAGTAGCGGTGCCATCGGCCCCTCCGACCACCACCAACCATTCACACACACACCAGACTCATTCTAGGCAATGGGGGTGAAGTGTCTTGCCTAAGGACACAACGACAGTTTGGCACTTTACAGCCGCAGCCGCCCCACTGTGGCTGGTGTTCCCAGAGGTTAAGTGTCTTGCCAAGGACACAACGACAGCAGTCAGTGGGAGTCGATGGTGAAAGTCGGGCTTGAACCCACAACCCTCTGGCTCAAAGGCCAATGCTCTACCAACTGAGCTACTGCCGCCCTATTCATCCAATAGTCGTTTGGACCAAACATTGAGCACTGGTTATAAATGTGGCACACATGAAAAGAGGATTTGTTGTAATAATTTAGCTCCCCCCTGGACTGCCACCTTACCGTGGTGGAGGAGTTTGAGTAGTTTAGTTTAGTCTTTATTTGAAAGAGACAATGTACAGAGACATTAAGCTCAAAGACAGATATGTTTTGCACCAGATTCTAGCTAAACAGGTAGTTTCCATCTGCAGTCCCTGGTTACATAAATACAATACATGGACACAGTAATGTACAATCCACTAGTTATAACATTGCAATACATCAGACTCTCTCTGATTCAGACACACACATTTAGCCTCATACCTGTTTGTTTAAACCACACCTCATTCTCAGCATCACACACACACAATACATCTACTCAGTCACATGTCACAAGCATGCATTCAGAAGATACATTCACACATTCAGTACATTTCTCATCACATACAGATCACATACATCAGTTTCTCATCATACATAGATCACATCAGTCGTCCTGGGTCACACCTCAGGGTTCGTGTGAGCAGCTTTTATTGCTCCTTAACCACTTTTTAAGTTCTACTGTACATGTTGAACAGTCTGTTTGACTCTTCAGTTCTGTGGTGAGCTCGTTCCATCCCTTTATTGCTTTATATGAAAATGCTGATTGTTCAAAAGCAGTTTTACACCTGGGTATTCTGCACTGCCCCCTGGTGGAGGCTCGTGTGGTTTTACTTGTCGCAGCAGATGTGAACTGAACAAAGTGTTTGAGTGGAGCTGGTGCGGTGTTATTTAATATTCTGTGAGCTAATCGTATGGATGCAAATCTTTGAATATTGTCGAAAATGTAACAGTCTGTATTTTTGGAGAACTAAACAGTGATGGTGATGTCGTGGTTTGTGCAGAGTTTCCTGTGACCTCAGAGTGATTTTATTTGCCTGGGACCAACACGTTATACAATAATCAAAACGAGACATGACCATTGCATTAAAATAAGTTTGGGCTCCCTCCAGTGTTAGTGAGTTCCTGATACATTTGAACGTCTTTATATTGTGTTTGAGGCTAAGGCTCATCTGTTTGATTTGTTTTTTAAAGCTGAAGGTGGGATCTAAAATTACACCCAGGTAACAATATCCATTCACATGTTTTACTTTTTATTTTATGTTTGGAAACAAGGTTGTTTTGTTTTTCTTTACAAAGTACATTGTTGCTGTTTTACTGATGTTTAATGTGAGACAGGAATCATGCAGCCATGTTGCAACCTTCTCCATTGCTACAGTCAGTTTATTGGCTACTATTTAAGCGTCCCTTCCCCATGTATAAATGACCGTATCACCTGCATACATCTGGATTTTGACATCCTCACACACAGATGTCATTTATATACAGTGAGAAGAGCAGAGGGCCAATGTTGGAGCCTTGTGGCACCCCAATATCAGTAGCACTGATGTTGGATGTCGTGTTACTGATAACGCACACATTGACTCCGGCGTGATAAGTAAGACTTAATCCAGGCCAGAGTATTTACAGACAGTTTAAATTTGGTTATTTTTGTAGTAATGTGGGGTGACAAACAGTGTGAAATGCTTCGCGAAGATCTAAGAATATTGCTCGGATGATCCTGGAAGTTATGTTTAGCACGTTAATGAGAACTGCGACGTCGGCAGGCGTGGTAGAGTTGGGGCCCCACCCTGGATGCAGGCCTGAGGTTGGAGCCTGTATGCGAGCGTCTGGTGGATGGGCCTTAGCCCACAGGGCCCAACCAGGCTCAACCCAAAAGGACGACGTGGGCAGAACCTCCTGTGGACCCACCACCCACAGAGGGATCCGTGGCGGGTCGGTGCTGAGAGGACTGGGCGGCGGTCGAAGGCAGAGGCCTCGACGACCCGGTCTGCACACGCAACATAAGGCTCATGGGACGTGGAACGTCACCTCACTGGGGGGAGCCCGAGCTCGTGGGGGAGGTTGAGTGTTACCAACTACATATACTCGGCCTCTCCTCCACACACAGCTTGGGCTCTGGAGCCCAACTCCTTGAGAGGGGTTGGACGCTCCACTTTTCTGGTGTTTTCCGCGGGGAGAGGCGGCGAGCGGGGGTGGCCATAATCATTGCCCCCCATCTCAGCCGCCACGTGTTGGAGTTCTCCACGGTGAATGAGAGGGTTGCGTCTCCTTCGGGTGCGGGACAATTCTCTCACTGTTGTGACGGCCTACGGGCCTAACAGCAGTGCAGAGTACTCAACCTTCTTGGAGTCCTTGGGAGGGGTACTGGACAGTACACCGCCCGGGGACCCCGGGTGATCGGGAAGAACGGCCTCCCTGATCTGAACCATAGCAGTGTTCAGTTGTTGGACTTCTGTGCCAGTCACAGTTTGTCCATCACCAACACCATGTTCCAGCACAAGGGTGTCCACCAGTGCTCGTGGCATCAGGACCTGAGGCCGGAGGTCGATGAGGGGAGGAAGCCGGTCAGACCTGGCAGACCCAAGCGTGTAGTGAGGTTCTGCTGGGAACGGCTCACTGAGCCTCCTGTCAGACAGACTTTCAACTCACACCTCCTCCGGAGCTTCTCCGAAGTTCAGGGGGAGGAGGGGGACATGGAGTCTGAGTGGACCATGTTCTCCACCACTATCGCCGATGTGGCAGCTCGAAGAATGTGGTCGCAAGGTCTCTGGTGCTGGTCCTGACCGCAGCCCCCGTGATGGACACCGGTAGTAAGGGATGCCGTCAGGCTGAAGAAGGGGAGTCCTATTGAGCTATGATGGTTGGTGGGACTCCCGAGGCAGCTGTGCCAAACGGCCGCAGCCCGAGCTGTTGCAGAGGAAAAAACCTTGGACTGGGAGGCATTCGGAGAGTCCATGGAGCATGACTATCGGTCGACCTCGAAGAGATTCTGGCAAACCATCCGGCGCCTCAGGAGGGGGAAGCAGTTCTTTGCCAACACCGTGTATGGTGCCGGTGGAGAGCTGCTGACCTCGACCGAGGATATTCGAGGTTCTCCTCAATCCCTCCGTCACGTTCTCCGTTCTGGAGACAGAGGCTGAGGATGTTGGGGCGGATACTTCCATCTCCCTGGCTGAAGTCACCAAAGGTAAAGGTAAATGTGCACTTTATTACTCCCCGTAGGACAATTCAATCCTCTGCATTTGACCCATCCTGTTACCTCAAAGGCTTACGTCAGGAGCAGTGGTCGCCGTAGTAATATCCCCCGGGAACCCCTCCAGATGTTGATGGTCGGCTTGGTCAGGACTACCGGAGCTGGAGGATTTAAGCATGTTTTTAGTGGTAGGGGAAACCGGAGTACCCGGAGGAAACCTACGCAGGCACAGGGAGAACATGCAACCTTCTTGGTGGAGGCGAGAGTGCTATCCACTCTGCCACCGTGCCGCCCTTGGTGGCAAGGCTCGGGGAGTGGATGAGATCCGTCCTGACTATCTAAAGTGTCTGGATGTTGTAGGACTGTCTTGGCTGACACGTCTCTGCAACCTCGTGTGGCGATCGGGGGCGGTGCCAATGGAGTGGCAGACCGGGGTGGTGGTCCCTCTCTACAAGAAGGGGGACCGGAGGGTGTGTTCCAATTATCGTGGGATCACACTCCTCAGCCTCCCTGGTGATGGTCGGCTCCCACTTGAGGTCCTGGGTGATGGTGGTACCCAGGAAACTATAGGACTCCCCCATCACCTCTGTGGAGTCCTATCGTTTCCTGGGCACCACCATCACCCAGGACCTCAAGCGGGAGCCGACCATCAGCTCCCTCATCAAGAAGGCCCAGCAGAGGATGTACTTCCTGCGGCAGCTCAGCAAAGCACTGACTGTTGCACTGAGCCAAAGCAATTTCCAAGTCTGTGACTTCCTGTTACTTACGTGGCAATACAAATTATTCTGATTCTGATTCTGAAGGTCTACTCCAAGGTACTGGAGAGGAGACTACGTCCGATGGTCGAATCTCGGGTTCAGGAGGAGCAGTGTGGTTTTTGTCCCGCCCGCAACACTGGACCAGCTCTATACTCTCCATCGGATACTCGAGGGTTCATGGGAGTTCGCCCAAGCTGTCCACATGTGCTTTGTGGATTTGGAGAAGGCGTTCAACCGTGTTCCCCGGGATGTCCTTTGGGGGGTTTTCTCCGGGAGTACGGGGTCCTCTGCTGAGGGCCGTCCGGTCCCTGTAAGACCGGAGCCAGAGCGGTGTGCGCATCAGCAGTAAGTCAGACCTGTTCCCGGTGCATGTTGGCCTCCGCAAAGGCTGCCCTTTGTCACCGGTTCTGTTCACTGTCTTTATGGACCGAATTTCTTCGCACAGCCAGGGGCCGGAGGGGGTCCGGTTTGGGGACCACAGGATTTCATCTCTGCTATTTGCGGACGATGTTGTCCTGTTGGCTCCAACGAACCAGGACCTGCAACATGCACTGGGACGGTTTGCAGCCGAGTGTGAAGCGGCTGGGATGAGAATCAGCACCTCAAAATCTGAGGCCATGGTGCTCGACCGGAAAAAGGTGCCGTACCCTCTCCAGGTGGGGAGGTTCTTCCTCTAGTGGAGGAGTTCAAGTATCTCGGGGTCTTGTTCACAAGTGAGGGAAGGATGGAGCGTGAGATCAACAGGCGGATCGGTGCAGCGTGCTCAGTGATGCGGTCGCTGTATCGGACCATCATGGTGAAGAGGGAGCTGAGCCGAAAGGCAAAGCTCTCTATTCACCGGTCAATCTTCGTTCCCTCCCTCACCTATGGTCATGAGCTGTGGGTAATGACCGAAAGAACGAGATCGCGGATGCAAGCGGTCAAAATGAACTTCCTCCGCAGAGTGGCTGGGCGCTCCCTTAGAGATAGGGTGAGGAGCGGAGTCACACGGGAGGAGCTCGGAGTAGAGCCGTTTATTCTCCACGTCGAGAGGAACCAGTTGAGGTCACTCGGGAATCTGTTCTGGATGCCTCCTGGACACCTCCCTGGGGAGGTGTTCCGGACAGGTCCCACCGGGAGGAGACCCCAGGGAAGACTCAGGACACGCTGGAGGGACTATTTCTCTCAGCTGACCTGGGAACGCCTTGGGGTCCCCCCGGACGAGCTGGAGGAAGTGTGTGTGGATAGGGAAGTCTGGGCGTCTCTGCTTAGACTGCTGCCCCCGCGACCCGGCAACGGATGAAGCGGAAGAAAATAGATGGATTGATGGAATATTTTGGATATTTCAACATTTGAAGTCAATTTCATTGCTGTTTGTTTGAGTAATTAATTGTGCTAATGGTATTAATATCCCAAAAAAATATTCTCACGACCCCAGCTAGTGTCCAATGGTTCTAGAAACGTGTTTACATCCACAGAAAAACCAGCACAACAGTTCAGAATGGTGAATTTAAAGATGCAGTCAGTGATTTTTTCCAGATGCATTTTTTAAAACCTTGTGGGAAAACGTCCTTAAACCCTAAAAGTAGTCAAGTAATCATGTGTTTTCAAATAGTAAGGGAGATTGACCAGATGCCTATTGTCTCCAAAAATGAACAAATAAGACTTTGGAGCTGGCCGATAAAAATAAACCAATGGGATTCGTTCATCCCCAACGAACCAATGGGATGCGTTTACCCCCTTCACCCTATTCCTGATTCTCACGAGTGCGCGCACCTGAGTTGGATTTTCTAAACATGACTGAATTGTGTGATAATCGCGGAGGACATCTGAGATCTGGCAGTGCATTCACAAGGTCATTTTCACTGACATCACACATAACGGCCGTGCGCGGGTCTCTCCTTCACACAGTTCATAAAGTCTCACGTCTGACCACAACAGCCACAGGTACCATGAGGACAAACACGTACATGTGGATTGTACTGCTCTGCCGCACTTTCTGTCATGTCAATACTTTTTGTACGGACTGCTTGTGAACGCCCCAAATACTAACATACGCGCGAGCCATCAAATAGTAACGGCTGCAGCAACACGTCTGTACTGTAGTAGGACTGAGTGCAGAGTAAACGTACGAACACAACCCATCCGCCTGATAATTCAGTGTCAGTGAACACATTACACTGTCCTCTACACTTCTCCATAGACCTCACAGAGACAGCAGCAGCCGCGACTCTGCAGCTGTGTACACAGCCGCGATACGCGACTCCTCTGCTCATCAGGAGAATGTGACATGTTCAACTGATGACAGATAATGTCACTTGTGGATGCGCGTTCACGTATGCCGCTTGTTTTGGTTTGATGGAGAGGCGAGGGGAGGAGGGAGTGGTTTCAAGTTGGTGCTACGGCTAAGCTAACAAAATCGCTTACTGCATCTTTAATTAACATTACCTTTTAGGGAATGTCACAGCCTTGGTCTGTGTCAGTTTTACCAGATCTCAGGAAATGGTCAAACATGTTTCAAATACACTGTTCAATGATCAGTGTTTTCAGTCCTCCACTTTCACAGAACATACACTCATACACATTCTGTTTTGGTCTCAGTGTGATTACAGTGGAGGAAAAGCTGTGTTTGAGGTGGCTGCTTCAGCCTGTCTGAGGGCAAAAGAGAGGCCCAAAGTTATGTCAGAGGATTTAAAGTTCTATGAATCCATTTAATGGACCAGTGGACTGTTGTGATCTGGACATATCAGTGTGTTCCTACTGCGTTGTTGAAAAGGACCAATCACTTACTTGTGTGAGTGGAGATCTCTGCAGCCTCACTCTGGGGCCTCTGGAGCTGTGCACACACAGAGAACAGGTACTGCTGTCCAGGCCTCAGGTCTCTGATGGTCACACTGGTTTCCTCAGTTTGGAATTCTTGTACGACATCTTCTCCACTGGAACAGGTCACTGAGTAGTTCTGCACTTCACCAGCAGGGGGCTCCCAGGACAGAGTCACACTGTCAGCTCTGATGTCACTCACTGTGAACGCTGCTGGCTGACCAGGCTCTGAACAGAAAGAGGAAAAAAGACTGACTATAAAAATGTATTCTTTATGTTTGGTTCATCCACACTAACAGAATTCGTCACAGTGTGGATATCATCTCGCCGCAGGTTATTGGTGGAAGCGGTCCGCAGACACTCGGGGAGCTTCCCTCGCTCTGACGCAGCGGGGGGCTCCCCGGTTGCTGTGCAGACCCGGGTGAGCGAAGGGAAAGCCCCAGGGGGATCTGCGTGGGTTGTCCCCAGGAGTGCTGTCCCTGGTGTGGGAGGGTTCGTGGGCTCTGACGCGGTGGGGAGTCCCAACCGTGCGGCTCAGGGGCGGCCGCGGGGAGTCTCCACGCTCTGACACAGCACATAGCCCTCCCGTGATCGCTGCCTCACCCCTGCAGGGATGTCTCAGTGCTCTGACGCAGCGTGGAGACATCCCGTGTCAGTGAATACTGTTCCGCCTGTTGAGGGCTCTTCAAACTCTGGACTTCTGAACAAGAAATCTGCCTCAAAAGGTACACCTCAACTTTGCTCTTTTAAATGTACGCTCCCTTTTGAATAAGACTTTTATTATTACTGACCTAATTTTAGAGCAACATCTTGATGTAATGTTTTTAACTGAGACCTGGCTGGCTCCAGATGCATCAGCTGTTCTCACAGAGACCCCCCCCCCAATTTTAGCTTTGCTTTTACTACAAGGGAAGGGAAAAGGGGCGGTGGCACTGAGCGCTCCGTAAAACCCTTCTAATTCATCTTCAACACTTCTACTATTTCCAAGTATCGATTGTGAATGGGGGTAAATCTAGGATAAAAGCGGTGGCAGAAAAGAATACCAAAAAAGTAGACAACGGGGCACCAGAACTCTAAGTGAAGAAGACGCAGGCAATGCTAATGCTCATGCTAGCGCGCATGACCATGACTCGCCTGAAAGGGGCCAGCTACTCAACCACATAAGCGAACAAATTATGTCTCTAAACACGATGCTTAACGCAAACTGGACAATGTTCAAGGAAGACTTTAAAAAGGAGATGAAAGACGAGTTTGCACAGTTTAAGATACAGATTGACCAGCAGTTAGCCACCGCTTCGCTAAAGCTACAAGATCATGGGCAGAAGCTGGAGGAGATGGCTGCACGCATTGACGAGCAGGAAACTTGGGCCGCGGTGGCTAACGAGGCGCTGAGCCGGTCTCTAAAAGAGCAAAGTGCGACTTCAAATCGAGAGGTCGAGGTCGAGAAGGAACAATGAGAATCTACAGGATTTCTGAAGGAGCCGAGGGGAGCTCGGTGATTCAAGTCGTGGAGGGGCTGCTAGCTAACGAAAAGATAATCAATGGAGGAACAGATCCACAGATACAACGAGCACACCGGTCGCTCGCACCGAGACCGAACTCCAAAGCTCCGCCAAGATCCATAGTAGTGAACGTCCTTCAGTTCAAAATAAAAGAGACAATCCTCAGAAATGCTTGGAAAAAGAACATCCAGATTGGCCACAGGATCCTTTCATTTGACTTTGATTACACCACTGACGTGATTCAGAAACGTAAGGAATATAAATCCACCAAAGCCGCACTGAAGGAGAGAAGTGTCCGCTTTCAGACTCCATTCACCCGGATGCAAATCCACTGGGACAGTGGACCGCAGATGTACAACAGTGCGGGAGACGCCGTGGCTCTGTCAGATCATTTCTGTGTATTTTTTATATGTGTTTTGATAGTAAACCCCCATATGAATCTGAATCTGCAATTGGCAGAAGACAACACATAAATAAAAACACAACCAAATTATTCATGGGAATGATGAACTTTGAGAGTCAATCAATCAATCAAACTTCATTTATAAAGCGCTTTTCATACAATAAAATGCAACACAAAGTGCTTTACAGCTTAGTAAAAATCAATACAACAAGCCCAATAAACCCCACCGCCCCACAAACCCACCCACAAACCACCCTAATTATTACATATACATCGAGATGCATATACCCGTACACACGCACACACACAGCGACATATAAAATCACAACAGACAGGTAAAATAGGTAAAACTATGAAAATATATAGGGCTGGGTGCAGATGTATCCAGCTGAAGAAGCTCCATCCAAGGAGCCATCCTCACCAAGAGCAGAGAGCTGCTTGCAGCCACAGGGGACGACACAGGACCCAGAGGAGAGAGGAGGCCCCAGACCCCCCGCCAGGCCCCCATAGGACCCGGATGAGAGAGGAGGCCCCAGGCCCCTAATAGATCCAAAAGCCAAACCCCTGCAGCCACAGCAGACCGCCGCTCCCAGTGCAGAGGGCTCCTCCAGAGGAAACACTGGGTATACTAAAAACCATACAATAAAGAGTAAAACAGCTACCTAAAATTAACAATAGTAAAAGTAAAACAGAATATGTAAAATAAAATAAATAAATAAGAACCAAAATAAGATGTGTCTAAAACATAATAAAAACTAATCAAAAGCTAATCTAAAAAGGTGTGTCTTGAGCCTGCTATTAAAAATATGAACGTTCTCTGCGGCCCTGAGCTCCTCCTCAGACTGTTCCAGAGACGGGGGCCGTAGTGCTGGAAAGAAGCCAGTCAGACCTGGCCGGTCAGACCTGGCAGACCCAAGCGTGTAGTGAGGGTCTGCTGGGAACGGCTCGCTGAGCCTCCTGTCAGACAGACTTTCAACTCACACCTCCTCCGGAGCTTCTCCGAAGTTCAGGGGGAGGAGGGGGACATCGAGTCTGAGTGGACCATGTTCTCCACCACTATCGCCGATGTGGCAGCTCGAAGAATGTGGTCGCAAGGTCTCTGGTGCTGGTCCTGGCCGCAACCCCCGTGATGGACACCGGTAGTAAGGGATGCCGTCAGGCTGAAGAAGGGGAGTCCTATTGAGCCATGATGGTTGGTGGGACTCCCGAGGCAGCTGTGCCAAACGGCCGCAGCCCGGGCTGTTGCAGAGGCAAAAACCTTGGACTGGGAGGCATTCGGAAAGTCCATGGAGCAAGACTATCGGTCGGCCTCGAAGAGATTCTGGCAAACCATCCGGCGCCTCAGGAGGGGGAAGCAGTTCTTTGCCAACACCGTGTATGGTGCCGGTGGAGAGCTGCTGACCTCGACTGGGGATATTGTCGGGCGGTGGAAGGAATACTTCGAGGTTCTCCTCAATCCCCCCGTCACGTTCTCCGTTCTGGAGACAGAGGCTGAGGATGTTGGGGCGGATACTTCCATCTCCCTGGCTGAAGTCACCAAAGGTAAAGGTAAATGTGCACTTTATTACTCCCCGTAGGACAATTCAATCCTCTGCATTTGACCCATCCTGTTACCTCAAAGGCTTACGTCAGGAGCAGTGGTCGCCGTAGTAACAGCCCCCGGGAACCCCTCCAGATGATGATGGTCGGCTTGGTCAGGACTACCGGAGCTGGAGGATTTAAGCATGTTTTTAGTGGTAGGGGAAACCGGAGTACCCGGAGGAAACCTACGCAGGCACAGGGAGAACATGCAACCTTCTTGGTGAGAGGTGAGAGTGCTATCCACTCTGCCACCGTGCCGCCCTTGGTGGCAAGGCTCGGGGAGTGGATGAGATCCGTCCTGACTATCTAAAGTGTCTGGATGTTGTAGAACTGTCTTGGCTGACACGTCTCTGCAACCTCGTGTGGCGATCGGGGGCGGTGCCAATGGAGTGGCAGACCGGGGTGGTGGTCCCTCTCTACAAGAAGGGGGACCGGAGGGTGTGTTCCAATTATCGTGGGATCACACTCCTCAGCCTCCCTGGTGATGGTCGGCTCCCACTTGAGGTCCTGGGTGATGGTGGTACCCAGGAAACTATACTATAGGACTCCCCCATCACCTCTGTGGAGTCCTATCGTTTCCTGGGCACCACCATCACCCAGGACCTCAAGCGGGAGCCGACCATCAGCTCCCTCATCAAGAAGGCCCAGCAGAGGATGTACTTCCTGCGGCAGCTCAGGAAAGCCAAGCTGCCTGCACAGATGTTGGTGCAGTTCTACACGGCCATCATCGAGTCCATCCTCACCTCCTCCATCACCGTGTGGTTCGCTGGAGCTACAGTCAGGGACAAACAGAGACTACAGCGCATTGTGCGCTCTGCAGAGGAAGTGATCGGCCACAGCCTTCCATCGCTGCAGGACCTGTACGTCGCCCGAGCTCGAGGCCGGGCTGGTCGTATCACAGCCGACCCCTCTCACCCTGCACATGGACTATTCCAACCACTCCCCTCAGGCAGGAGGCTGCGGTCCATCAGGACTAGAACCTCCTGCCACAAGAACAGTTTCTTCCCCTCTGCTGTTGGACTCTTGAACACTTCTTAACCTGTCCCCCCTCTCTTTATAAAGTCACTTTACTGCCCATCATACGTCACTTTACTTCACTGTACTGCTGTCACCTTACATAGTGTGCAGTGTATATTGTAAATAGTAACTGTAACTTTATTTTAAATTTAAATTTTATTCCTTAGAAGTTTTTTTATTCTTTATTTTTTATTATCTCTTTCTGACTGTTGCACTGAGCCAAAGCAATTTCCAAGTCTGTGACTTCCTGTTACTTACGTGGCAATACAAATTATTCTGATTCTGAAGGTCTACTCCAAGGTACTGGAGAGGAGACTACGTCCGATGGTCGAATCTCGGGTTCAGGAGGAGCAGTGTGGTTTTTGTCCCGGCCGCGGAACACTGGACCAGCTCTATACTCTCCATCGGATACTCGAGGGTTCATGGGAGTTCGCCCAAGCTGTCCACATGTGCTTTGTGGATTTGGAGAACGCGTTCAACCGTGTTCCCCGGGATGTCCTTTGGAGGGTTTTCTCCGGGAGTACGGGGTCCACTCCATTGGCACCACCACCTCGAAGGATCTCAACACCACCACCACCTCGAAGGATCTCAACACCACCACCACCTCGAAGGATCTCAACACCATCACCGCCTCAAAGGATCTCAACACCTCCACTGTCATCAGAAGCAGCTGCATCATCACCAGTAGCAGCACCAGCAGCACGACCACCACCACCACCAACATC